AACCTGGATGTAGTTACTCAGCCAAACCACTAGGTGCCACCAGTTAGCTCAGTATCACAGATGACCTGGCTTGTTGGAAGTCCACAGCCAAACAGTGGACCCTCCTCCTGCTACACTGTGTCTGCCTGTGATTGGCTGAGCTAACTTTATGTCACTGCCAACTCCTAGTGAATTAATGTATGAGCTGGTGAAGATATTCTTCACTGTTTCAAGGCAGAATCAGCAGGCGAGGCCAGTTTATTAGTTTTTCTCAAAACTACTAATTTATGATTTATCGCATATTGATTGATCACCATCTTCGTCAGTGAAAGCAGACCTCAATTTAATCTGTAGTGTCCATTTGAAACATTTAAATGCCATTAACTGAGAGCTGTTTTTCAGGGTACCACATTGCCAAGAACATGTAGGTTTAAGCGTCCCTCAGTGTTTAAATAGCTCCTAACTCACGCTGCGTTATGGCCCCACTCTACTCATTTACTGGTCCTGTTCAAACCATTGAGCTACTGTGTGCAGCGTTACCTACAGAGCTTGAATACCACCGTGCAGCGGAGACAGAAACTTTAAAAGCGCTGACAAAAAAACCCAAGGCCATGGCCAGTGTTTATTTTTGGTTCTTTTGAAAAAAATTTCAATACGAAGCTACTTCTTCTACTTAATATCCGTGAGTCCTTTTCAGCACAACATGGTCACAGTTAGTTGTGAGGTTTCTAGGCAACACAAACTAGACTGAATCCCCACTTGCTTAATCTTGTTTGGTAATATGAATAAGTTGAGGGTCTCTCAGTTCATTCTTCTTCTTCTACATTATTCTTTTATGCAAGTTTGGGAGAGTAAAACTTGGTGTAATATGTGTTTATCACTCAGATAAAGCCATGCAGCTCTCAAGTGCTTCATAAGCAGGAAATATCTAGTGGGCTTTTCATCACAGTTATTATTTTAACAGTGGTCTACAGTTGTGAGCTTGACAGTAGATCTTGTTCTCAGATCAGCTTTGGGATTTAAGAAGGTTCAACATGTTAAAGCGACTCTGAGTGCAGATGGAGCCTGAATTATGGTCTTTAGAATATCAAGATCAGTCACTGCGCTTCAGTCACATTATTGACAAAAGAGCTTCTAGATATACGATCTAAAGAGCTTCTCATCGCCCAACATGCAGCGTTTGTGACACCGGGTTCAGACGAAGGTTGCCGTCTGATTACCACAGCTCATGATGGCGTGTAGCCACAGTGAAGGGATGAAAGCCTCGGGGGACTTGATTAGTGCTGTTTTCCCATTGGTTCCTGCCTGTTCCATGTGTGTTTGTGTGTGTTGGTTTCTTTTGGTGCTTTGGGTTAATGAGAGAAGATGGATTACTGCAGCGTTCACCGCTCGAGACCACTGCTGCTTGTTAGTGGTGTCCATCCATTTCTGTCTCTGAAAATATTTGCTATACATTAAACATTGTGTGTATGCAAAGTGGTGTGGGTCCTCCTCTCCTGCAGTGTTACTGCCATGCTGTATTGTACAGAATCACACGTATGAGCTTGTGTATGTATGTATAGAGACTGTTCATGACAGCAGAGGTGCAGGAGGACAGTTTTTAGATGTTTAATCTTTACATTACTGTGCTCCACGTATGCTATGGTATGTGGTATGTGTATGTCATATTGCAGTATCCAATAGGACTGAAGCTAATGTTTATTTTTGTTATTGATTAATCTGTCAATTATTTTTAATATTAACTGTTGACCTTGTCAGAAAATAGTAAAAATCACAATTTCCCATATTTAAGTTGCTGGAACCAGAATGTTTGACATTTCCTTGACGATCCATCCATCAGTAATCATTTCAGCACTGACCATTTAAGGATTAAATAATTAGATAGACGAGGTTTATTTTTGGTTAATCCAGTGGATTAGATGCCTGTAAAATCCAGGTGCTTCATCACATTGATGCAGAAATCAATAAACAAACAGTCCTTCTCATTGATTTTCAACATCGCCTGCAATGACCTAATACAACAAGTGATACTGAAAGCTAAGCTACCTCTGCATAAAAGGTATAGAGAACTCTCTTGATCCTTTCACAGCCACCATCCATCCCCTCCTGTTTTTCTTCAGTCCTTTTCAACTTTCTCTTAATTCCCTCAAATCTCTTCCCTCGCTCCTTCCTTCTCCCGGCGCCTCTCCTTCTCACCCCACCCCTCTCCATTCATAACCTATACCCTGATTGGCAGATGGAGAGAAACCGATTCAAGTGCTCAGCCTCATTTAAGTTGCAGTGATGCTACAGTCTGATTTAGATTTAAACACTGTTTTTTTTCTCCACCCCTGTTGCAGCCTGTCATTCAGGGAAGCTTTTGGGTCAAGTGTGTGTGCATGTGTGTTTGTGGCATAGAAAGCTGCTCACTAACAGCCAAGAGAGAGAGCTAGAGAGAGAGAGAGAGAGAGAGAGAGAGAGGTAGGAGTAATGAGGAAGCGGATAGGAGGAGGAGGAGAGCCAAGGAGGGAGGGGTGGATTGTGAGAGTGAGAGATCGAGCAGAAGAGAGTGTGAAGCTGCAGCAGGCGGGAGATAAAAGCTTTTCTCTCTCTCTGCCGGCGTCTGCGAGCCAGGGATAAAGCAGAGGAGCGCAGCCAGCCAGAGGAGAGACAGATCCAGGCTGCCTGCTGTCACTGGAGCTCCCGGCTTCCCCCGGATCAGCAGGCCTCACACCACAAACGCACAGCAGGACAAGACACACTCGTGGACACGTATACAGAAGGGCTCACACAGCTGACCAGGGGACCGCCTAACCTCGCAGGCTCAAACACACACTCGTACTCTCTGCTGGACGGCCACACACTTTCAGTTTCTGTATCCTGCACCGTATCAATCGGATCAATCCAGCCATGCTTGTCAGATGGAGCCTCTTTCTCTTTTTTTAGCCGGAGACGCCCTGTGCTCCTGTCTCTGCTCCCTGCATGTCTTTGTTTTTTAAGGGGGACATGGAGTGCGGACCCTCTCGTCCTAACCTTCTGGGTTCGGGATTGCCTTCCGCTGGACATTGAATCCCTTTGGCTCTGTTCCAGATACACATCCGTTCGTGAAGTAGGTCTGCTACTAGAACTGGATCTTGACGAGACCTTAGCGAAGCCAACTGTGGACCAGTCTCTTCCTCCCTTGCTCTTCCTCAGAGTCCAGTTCCAGATCCTATCCCAGATGCCTCCTTCTAATTGGATCTAGTGGTTGTGAGGAGCTATTAAGAGCCAGAAAGGCACCAGAGAGGAGAAGAAGAACGAGAGCCTCTTTCCCCAGCCTGTCATGGTCTAAATACCCCCCACCTCCTGCAAACTGTGGATTTTGTCAGGCTGTTGCATCGTCGCACTGCACCACCTGATGAAGGGGAAGCTTGTCTGAGTAACTGGCAGACTGACACCAGGACACAGGAGCTTTATGATTGGACAGTACTGGAGCACAATTTCAAGCCAACTCTGGTCCTCAGGGAGTCTGACATCAAGGTGTTTGGGGGGGGGGGTCTTGTCTCTGGTATCCAGGCGAGAGGCGTGTGATGTTGAGGTGTCTGGGGAGCTTAAGGTGGAGTCTGCCTCCATTTATCTGCCTCCAGATTTAGACCGGCACCCTGCTAAAGGTTTTCTGGACCACGATGCCTGATGACTCCACAGGTATCTGACTGCACTCTCCTGCCAGTCTCGTCAGCGGGAGAAATTAACGCCAGTGATTTCGGATCCCAACATATTGACAACAACAGAGGAGGAACACACACATGCTAGAAGGATTGACACGTCACATGAGACACCAGCTCAATGAGCAGCAGAAACCGTGGGAGGATGATAAGGAGACGCATTGGGGCGGGAAGCTGATGCTCTGATCGAGTATTTAACAAGCTGTCGGAATATTGGCTGAATCTCCCAGCAGTCTGTGGCAGCATTGGCTGACTGCACACTATCTCTCACCCACAACCAATCTGGATGCCGTGCTGCCTCGGCAGAATGAGACACCGAGCTCACCGTCACTACGAGAGATATCGACAGCCTCGCCTTTAATACGACTTCCACTACGAGCACCGTGACAGAGAGGATTCCTGCTGATCTCTGTTGTGGGGCTGACTTCAGTTACTGATCGTACTTCTCTCCTCTTGCACTGCAATAACATTACCACAGTAGGAGAGAGGCATCATTAATGCATGAGCTCAGATAGCTGCTATATCTGAGTGTAGATAGAGCTCCTGGATTACAGCGGCACCTGGAACCCACTTCATTTTTTTGTGGTTTATAGAGGATGGAAAAAGGATCTGGCGTGTTGTTTCTCTCACATCACTGAATAACAATCATGAGACTGCCACTGACTCCAACACCAACCAGAAATCCTGCAGGACAAACACACGCAGACTTTAACACTTTGTTCCCATGTCACACACAGACACATGCAGTGTGTGTGAAGCACTAATGGGCTGAATAGCACTGGACTGCGCTGCATTTTTCTCTCTACCACGCTCATCATCCTGCCTGACACATCGCCTTACATCAGGTAACAGTTCACCTGCCAGGAGCCTGGTGATAAATCAACAGCTGACCCCAAACAAATTTATTTTCCCTCCTAATGTTGCTCTGCTGACACAACTGTGTCCTCGTGTCCTTGACTGCGACCACAAGTCTTCTGGGATAAGGAAAACAGACCAAGTAAAGCAGCCAGCTGCTCGTGTACATACTGCCCCCCCTTGTTTTACTGTTTCTATTCACCAGGTTGTATTTAAGATGGTGCCATGGGAAACGGAGATAAACCTGCTCATCCTAGCTTCACATTACTCACAGCTGTCAGGTTGATGAGGGAGCTGTCAGCCACTTGTCAGTCTATCTAAACATTTCCTGTCCTGTGTCTTTTTTTTTTCGAGGGGTGGGGTTTTACTCTCAAGCACCTGGAATAAATGCTCAAGCCTCAAGGAGCAGTCATTTGGCCTCTACCATGGATTAACTGCCTGTAGTTCCTGTTTTATACTCTGTTCTCTGTCAGCATCAAAGACATGGGGAACTCCATGGGTTGTGTCAGGCCTCCTCGGGAGGGGGAACTCGGTGGAGCCCCCCCACTTTCACCAAAGAAGCGTCTACGTTTCAGGCGCAAGCACAAGGGCAAAAGGGTCAGGAAAGAGGAGGGAGAGAAGGACGACTACGAGCAACAAAGAGGCCATGAGCCTGATGACAGAGAGGAAGAGGATGAGGACGAGGAGGAGAAACACACAGGTGTAGAGGCAGGAGATTCAGATTTTAGCAACAGAGCGAGGACTCTGATAACAGTGCCTGACACCCTGTTAACTCATTCCAAAATGAATCTGCACAGCAATACTCTCTCCCCCGGCTCCACCAGTGCCAGTGTTGGGGGCTTTTTGGGCAGCAGAATACTTGAAGTGTCCCCTAATCCCAGCCCAGCCTGGAGAGGGGTCTTCTGCCTTCCAGGGGAGGAAGACACTGTCAGCGCAATCATAGATGTCTCCAGCATCCCGAGCCAAACCACAACAACCACCCCAGTCAACACAGCCCCAGCCCTGGGCAGCACCACTCCAGGCGGAGGGAGGGTCTGTCGTGTTCGGGAGAAAGTCCAAGGGGTCCTAGAGAAACCTTGGATCCTCCGGCAGAAGAAGGAGAAAAAGGACAAAGGGAGAGCAGAGAAAGAAGAAAAGGGGGATGTAGGGGTAAAGGGAGGATCAGAAGGGACATTAGGGCTGGTGCAGACACCGACGGATCGGGAGCGCAAAGGTGTGGTCCATATCCGAGAGGTGGACGGTAAACTCTGCGTGGTGCGGACCATGTACCCCAGTGACTATGGCTCTCCACTGTGGAAGGGCGAAAGTGACAGTGAAGTGGAGGTGCGTAAAGAGCCTCCTGTCCCGTCTCCACTCACAGGAAATATTCTCAAAGTCCTGCTGTCTGAGGAGGACAAGAGTAGAGCCAAGATGTCTGCCGGTGAAACCCCACTGTCCTTTACTGAACTGCAGGTTCAGGAGACTACGGGTGTCAAGGGGTTCAGGTTGGACTCTCCATCTCGAGCGCAGGAGAGGTCATCTCTCTTGGAGTCGGGATACGCCAGCGACCTGCCGCTGACCTCTCCAGAAACAGCGGGCACCACCCCCAGTCAGACAGACTGGGGAGGGCTGACCAGCAGCTCGTCAGAGAGGCTGGACTCCATGATGGAGAGTCCTCTGTCGCTGCAGCAACAGGCAGCTGTGAAATACCTGCCACAGGTTTGTGTCCTGTCATCCACTCATCAAATCCTTTATCCAGCTTCCTCTTAGATCTTTATCCGTCTTGAAGTTTGCCACAACAATTAGTTGATTAATCCAGAGGTTGCCGCCCCCCGGGCTGCTGGACCTTGAAATAAATAAAGGTTGAAAACCTTTGGATTAATAAAATAGTCGATGGACAGACAACAACACTTCTGGTGATGCATTAACCATATAAGTCATTTAGTAAAGAAAATAATAAGCATTCGCAAGTGTGAGATTTTTTATTATCATAAATTGGACATCTCTGGGTTTAGACTGTTGATCATCAGCATACAATCTACATTTTCACAATAAAAATACTTGACAGATTAATCAGGAGTGAAAAGAATGGAAGTTGCAGCCCAGTTCCTGACATCCACAGTGTTTCTACTCCCCTGTCCTGATTCCTGATGTCTAGTCCTGATAGACCCACATGCACTGACCACAGGTTGTTCTAAGACTTCGTTTCCAGGAGTTGAGGATTGTCTTTGTTAGAGGTGAGAGTGGAGTCTATGAGGCATTGGTGTACTTGGATTGTTTTGCTTCAAATTGAGCACTCGAGACTTTAAACCTGTTCTGGCGGGGCTGTCAGGATCCCGCGTTTCAAACCAGTGGTCTTTAGAGCCAGGAGAGGCATTCACTGCTCTGTTTGTATGAGTGTGGCTTTTTGAAGGCTGCCTTTGTTGTCATTCGTGCACCATGTTTGTGGTGATGAAAGGTTGTGTGTGTGTGTGTGTGTGTGTGTGTGTGTGTGTGTGTGTGTGTGTGTGTGTGTGTGTGTGTGTGTGTGTGTTTTTGTTGTTATCAGCTCAAGAAAGGCACTGCGTTTCTCCATTCTTTCCGCCTCTGTCCCTGGAGGCTAATCAACGCAGCCCAGACCGTCTCTACATCCTTCTTTCCCAGTATCCTCCTCCCCTCTCCCTCCCCCTCTCTCTCTCTCCTTCGTCTCCCTCTATTGCTTGTTATTTTCCTCACACTACACACTCTCTCTCTCTCCTGACGTCTGTTAGAGTGAGAGAGACAGACAGGACGGGGGTGTGTGTGTGTGTGTGAGAGAGAGAGAGAGGTCATTGCTTCAAATGACAGGGTTCCCTGCAAACAGTAACTTGTCATTTCCCATCAGTTCAATAGTCTGTGTTTGTGTCTGTCTAGCTTTGGTGGTTTTGGCTGGAAAAGGTTTAGGTTATTTGGGGATAAGCAGAAGGGTGAGATGGGTTCTTTTGACATTACTGCCATCATATTCTGAGTGTGATTGACTCTGTAATCTCTCTACATTAAACTTGACTTTGTTTTTCTGCTACGCAGTCTTCTGCCTAGTTACAAGCTTCCTGCAGTTAGGGCTAAATATCATTAAAATAAAGTTTAAATACATTCAAAAAAGTGCTGATAAAATAAATACCTTTACTTTTTATTTAACTTCAGACCCAGATTTTAAATGTAAAATATGGTCTAGCTGTAGATGAGAAAATAGGCCCAAACTGGCAAAACTGATCTTAATGTGGAAATATCTGATTAGACAATAAAAACACTGTTTAATGCCAGCTTTTTTTTTTTTACTCAACAAAAAGTGCACCAGACACGTTTTGTTTGGTACCAGAAAAAAAAAATACTGCTCTTGCCCACAAGAATGTTACTTACATCCCAAAAAAAAAAAATCTTTAAACCTTTTTGCACTGTCAAAAACGAGCTAAGCTGCAGGGCCTCAAATCTGAGTTTGTCGGTGCTTTGTTGCTTGTTGATTGTTGTTGTTGATGTCTGGTCCAATATAAAAGGCAAAGAGCCGGGGCTTTTCTTTTGGTGTCAACTTACAACTATTAACCACAGCTTACATACACACATGTACGGACCTGAGTGAGCTATAGTCCAGCCCAGTGTGTTGCTATACAGTGTGTGGTCATGTTTGGGTTGCATCAGATGTCTGGGGCTCAGTTGCAGGAATGATTAGAGTGTGTGAGTTCTTGTGCTAGCTTACAGCCCTTCAGCTTCTCCTTCACCTTGAAAATGAAAGAGCTGCTGCAGCTGCTGCAGTAGCAACAGATGAGCGACGCGTTTCACAGCGGCTGCCATAGTTCACTCAGTTTTCCTCCACATTATAAAGACAAGCACAGCTGGTGACGTCATGTCAGGTTGTCTTCAGTGCTACGTGTCTTATTTGATGCACAGTTGCTGCTGAGTCATGAGAAACGCACACACTCTCTCACACACACACACACACACACACACACACACACACACACACACACACACACACACACACATACATACAGATACTGTAGATCCCAGCTCCACAGAGATCCCTAGTTCACCAATAATCAATACTCCTGTCTTGTGTGTGTTCCTGTGTACATGTCAGGATGTCTCTGTGTTCAGTTTAAAGTGCAGCTGTCCTGTGTGTGTGTGTGTGTGTGTGTGTGTGTGTGTGTGTGTGTGTGTGTGTGTGTGTGTTGGTGTGTGTGGCGGCCCTTTTCTGCATAAAAAGGGATTTGAAATGCGCATTCATCAGTGAGACGCTGCTTCGTTGAGCCTCCAGGGGATTCTTACCACACACTGAATCCACCACTCAAATTTATCCATATACACGTCCTCCTGTGTCTGAAGCTATTCGGCCATCCATCCATCATCTGTCTATCTGTCCCTCATCCACCCATCCATCCTTTTCGCTGTGTACCAGTTTGTTTAAGAGCCAATAGAACCATCTTTTCTTTTATCTTCTCTTCCTTTCCTCCTCCTTGTTGTTTTCTCCTCCCTCCCTCCCTCCCTCCCTCGCTCTCCCTCCTCTGCACACAAACTTCAAAGAGGCCATGTTTTTAAAAGAGGGCTGGTCCAGAGCCCCAGGGGGCAGCTAGTGGATCATGGATGATTGTGACAGGATCATGGCTGCACTGAACACGAACTGCGACCTGCTCTGATCTCACTGTGTGTTTATCTGTGTGTGCTCTATGTTTATCTGCAGTAACAGTTGCATGGCAGAATCAGACATACACACACATATACTTACACATCATCCATGAATTTACACGTTACATACAGACCATCATCAGAGAAAAGTGCTCAGTTTTAAAACCAGGACTTTAAACATGCACCTGCCCTTTACTCCTGTATGTCATGTGACCAAAGCTGTGATCTGTTTTTGTGTGTGTAGCCTAATATGGATGGAAATGAGCACGTATCATGTTCACACATTTTGTCTGAATGGCTGAGTTTGATGTCTGCAGAAGTGCATGTGAATGTCACATCAAATGAGGCAGGAACTCTAGCAGAAATTAGTCTCAGTTCACTAATGATATAAGTAAAAGTAAATGATTTCACAAGGTAGAGTTGTGTATATTTAAATGACTCATTAGTTCTAATGCTACAAGTTAGAGCTAAAGAGGAGTCGGTTCAGTTAATTAAACAGTTGGTCTTTCGGTTTGTTTGCTGAATAACCAGCAGGTTAATCAAGCAAATCATCTGATGTTAGGTTGACATGCTGTACTGACTACACAGATTCTTAGTTCACATGATTTCCAACCAGGGAGAAGTAGTTGGACAAATTGTATTGAGTTTTGGAGCGTATGGTTTTAAGGATGCCCCTGACAGTAATGCTATGCAGAGACAAACCATGAGCTGCTCTCTTGGGATGCAGGAACAAAGACATTGTGCAAAGTGGGCTGTTGAGGGGGATGTATGATGCCTTATCCAGTTTCCAAAGGAAACACTGACCAAAAAGATCTTTAACTGGAATAGAGCACACGGCTTCACTTGATCAAAGGAGGTCGCAGCAATATTTTCAGTCATTGCAGTATAATATAAATACAGTCGAGCAAAACTGGAAACAATGGAAGGAGATTTCGAACAAGCCAGAACTCATGAATTATTATGTTCAAATCAGGGATTACTGCACGGCACCACACGCTCTATTGAATTTATAGAGAAGGCCAAGCTCCCTTTGTGCTCAGTTAAGAACCACTATGCAAATATAAAGGTGGCGAAGAGCAGCTTTTGTGTTTTTTGTCATCTTGGTGTTGTTGAGGGTGAATTTCACTTTCTGTCCCATGTACAGTGACATGAGGAATAATCTGTTTGAAGAACCCTGATGTGTTTTGTGTGTCTGAAGGTAATATGCTGAGTCGCCTCTTTAATGAAGAGATTTTTGTTTTAGTGACATTTATAGAAAAAGCACGGCAGACAGAGGACACTGTATCCATTCTATACGGACGTTTCTATCACGGAAATGTTCCCTTTTTAATCTGTGGAGATATTTCTTGTGATTTTTCTCATGGACCTCCTGGTTGTTGTTGCTGTCTAGTGTCTTAAAAGCCCATTTGGACCAGGTGGACAGTGTGTTACTGTATAATCCTCGAAATGTTGTGATCATAACAGTAATCCACTTCCAGTTCTGCAGTGATATTTACCTTTTACATTTAGGAACAGATCCCTGTTCTGCTGCCTGAATATCGTGAAGGTTTGTTCTTGACCTCTGCAACATGTACGTGTGATAAAATGTTGAAAACTCAAGCTTCACTGGCTTTTTCAGGCAGATTTCAACCACATCTCACTGCCAAGGTTCTGTAATCTGGTCACGTGATAACACGCTCCATTTGCAAAGGAAGAAGGCCATGAAATACAGTAAAAAGCTCCTCAAACAGTTAGCGTATGTCCTCTTTGGAACATCTCAGAGGGTGTGTTTGAATCACCTGAAAATAAGGAATAAACGAATGGCCGACGTGCACATCAGTCAGCGTAGGCTCCGTGTGCGGATGCAGCCCTCACACAGACAGACTGCTGTATCAGTATTCAGATGGAGGATTAGAAGCTCTGTATTTCTCTGCAAAGGAGTCCGTAGAGGCAGAGACACTGAGTTCTGCAGAGAAACACACACCAGAATTTACATTTTCAGATTCCCATTCAAATCACACACTGTGATATGTATCATTGTTTGCTCGTGATATGTGTTCTCACTGAGACACTGGTGGGAATGATAACCTGAAAGTTGTGTCACACACTTCAGGGGATGGATGTGTAGAAGATGGTTGTAGTTGTCTGGAGTTGCTGTTTGCATATCAGGAGTGTGACAGCAGACTCTGCTCTGCGTCTCTGCATGTATGTGGGGATTTATGTTTTTCTTTGGATGAACAGGGATATTAACCCATAAGACTTTATGTGAAGCTGCTACATGCAGTATGCTGCATGTCACCCCCTCTCCTCTGCTGCCGGCCTTGTAACTCATTTTCATCTCCTCTCCTCTCCTCTCCCTCCCCCTCCTCTTCTTTTTGGCTGTTGCTGCAGTCCCCTGGCACACACCGGACTTTCATACTGCTCTATATTAGCAGCAGGGAGAGAGACACACAGACAGACAGACACACAGACAGACGGTCAGAGGAGGAGGAGTGTAAGGACAGTCAGTGAGGGAAGGAGGGATGACAGAAGAATACTGATGACAATAGCAGCAGCCAAGCACTGACAGTTTCTGCATATACATCACTCCTCCTTTGTCACTGTGGACCGTTGGACCTAAAGAAAGCAAATTGAGAGGAAGGAGGGCGCGGAGGGAAAATGGCCAAAGTGGTCGTGTAGTTCAGAGAAACAGAACACATAGATAAAGAAGCGGTCGGTCTCCATGGAAGCCTGGTTTCCCCTCAGACTCGCCCTCAGTAAACATACATGTCTTCACAGTGCTTTCAGGAGCTGTGTGTACCAGCATCCACCAAAAGGCATCTGTTATAAGATAATACAAGCTAGTAATCTGAAATGATTACAGGAGAGTAATTATCAAGATGTTTTGAATAGTCCTGATTTGGTGAATGCTATTTCCTACAACAAGCAGAATCAAAGAAGACCTAAGAATTATAAAGTATTGCCTAAAAATTTCTCCTAAAAACCCAAAGATAAAGCAAAATCAAAACAATATTTGGCTCCTTTCTGGGGGGCTAGTACGTACCTGAAGTCCCTGGCTGAGGAATCAAGGAAGGAATCGTCATTTCACAGACAGATCCTATACGTCTGACCTGTTCTGTGGTATTTAGTTCACTGCCAGTGAAAAAGCACTGGGGGGAAATGTGATGAGGTGAATGAAGAGGAGGAGCAGGATGAGACTGCTGAGCAGATTGATCAGCATCAGAAGCAGAACAGATGAAAGAACGGGAAAAACTGAAGAGACAGATCGAGGTTGGAGAGGGGGAGTCACGAGACAGAAGGAGAGGAAGGAAAGGAGGCAAAGTGTTGGGGGGGGGGGGCACAAGCTAATGAGCAGGCGAGACGGGAAATGATGGAGTGAGTAAATAGGAAAAAACTTCCATTAGTAGAAAAATACATGCGTCTCGGTTTCATTATCAAACTCAGACACGTTTTGTTCCACATGCTAAAGGTTAGTGATGATGAGCGACAGCAGGTGACAAAGCCGTCGCATATTTCTGCCGAATCATTGTGGTTGTGTCTTTATGTGAGTGTAACAGGATCATGTGTGCTGGTGTGTGAATGCATCAATACAGAATATGCATATGATTCATTCCTATGATTTTTTTATTTATTTATTTATTTTATTTGAATGCACCATGTGAGAGACAGGAAGTAGTAACCCCCTCTTCTCCGCCCGTTCCCTCCAGATTTCAGAGATCTATGTGAGCGGCGAGTCGGGCGACCTCACAGCCAAAGAGAAGCTGTTATTATGGAGCCAGCAGGCGACAGAAGGCTACCCAGGCCTCCGCTGTGTCAACTTCACCTCATCCTGGAGCGACGGACGCATGTTCAACGCTCTGCTGCACAGATACAGGTTAGAGGACGAACGGCGAGAGAGTGTCACCTGTGTTAGTGTTTAGTAGTGGTAAAGTCTGATTTCAGAGAAGACTGGCTGAAGTGTCTTACCGTTATCCCTGATACAAATAAAATGTATTGAGTTAAATAGCAATCAACTGCTTCGAAGTCAAACTATGAGTTTAACAGCCTGCAATGGTAAAAATCCTTAAATGCTGACACACAATTACTCAGAGAAACACAGGGCCTCAAGGTGGTTCAACAAAATATGCAAATAATTCCACAAAAACAATTTTTGACAAGTAATTGTAAACTGCTTTGAATTCACAAGTATATGCATAAAAAGTGAGGAGTGCTCAGCCCTCTCCGAGGCACTGCAGATACCGTATGTGTTGTTCACGCGCTGCAGAAATAAGCAGATAGACCGACACCCACTCGAATAACACATCCCCTCTGTGTGTGTGTGTGTGTGTGTGTTTTCCAGGCCAGACCTGATCGACATGGAGATGGTGTCACGGCAGAGCAACCGTGAGAACCTCGAGCAGGCCTTCGAAATCGCTGAGTCGTTAGGGGTGACCAGACTGCTGGACGCTGAGGGTGAGACTGTTAATCTGAATGGACAAACTGACCGGCTGACTCTCTGCCCGATCAGGCTGAATCCTGGGAAACGTAACAACTGTAGAATAACTGTAGAATTATTTATGCTGCTCAGAGTTTTTTTTTATGTCTTGTTTATTTCTAGCTTTTATTTTGGAAGTCTGCCAACATAAGAACATGCCAACCAACCCCAGTGACTGACTACTAAATTACTTATGTTCAAACTCTCCCCTTAATATCTTATATTCTGCATATCTGTACTTATTCTGTATTTTGTCCACAGAAACATATTAAAATCTGCTCACCACAGGCCGTTAATTCCCTGTAAGCAGTGACATTTTGGCTGATGTTGACCTCTTGAGTCCTCTGAGCCTAGTTTAGCAGCTGGAAGAGTGGGATACTGTTGAATGTTTGACTGATCATTCTTTATAGTTCCTGTCTAATGCTACATCTTAGCATCAGCTAGCTCAAACTGGCCAAAGAAAAGTAGCTGGATAATGTGGTTTCAGGTGGTTTGAATGTCAGATTTTTATTTTTCCATCTTTACTTCTTTCATGTTTGCAGATTGTCTTGCTTCTAGTAGTTGTCTTATTTGACTTTTTAAAATCTTAATATTTTATGGTTACACCTATTGACATTTTATCCATTAAATTATCTTAAATTCAGAGCCAGAGGTGATTTGCAAACATTAAAATTCAAATGTCAGGATTTCAGGATAATATGAAAAACAAATAATCAAATCTTTTCTTATGTTTAAAAAAAAAAAGAAAAAAAAAAAGTTTTTCAGTTTTTCGTCTCTAATTCTCATTATTTCTCTCTCTCCTCAGATGTTGATGTTCCGTCTCCAGATGAGAAATCAGTCATCACCTACGTCTCTTCCATCTATGATGCCTTCCCTAAGATCCCTGAGGGAGGAGAGGGCATCGCCGCACATGTATGTCATACTCTGCTCCACCCATGTTCACCACTTTGACTGTGCAGCCAGCTCTGACCTTGAGCTCGTTATAGCCGGATGTTTCTCTGCTCTGCATTCCTCCGTCTTACAGGCATCATTGATTAAGATTTTTCACATTGTTATTTGTACATCTCAGTTTCAGGGTCATTCTTAACATGCACCACAGTTGATAGTATACTGTGATACAGTCTGACTGCATCAGCTGTCGTTGCTTCATCTCATGTTCACTTTTTAAAATGTTTAATGATTTTTCACTTTATTCTCGGAGGAAACGTTCTTTCCATTTTGTTTGTTAGTCAGCTGTGCAGCTTCATGAGTAATGACCTGGAACTTATGATGCAGTTATTTCAATGGTGTTGTAGTCATTTACTATAAATTACATTTTGTAAAATGAAGATGATGAATCTGAACGCATTTTTGAAGCAGTTTGTGAATTTATGATGTTTCCACTGTGAAATAACTGATTCACGTCTCTGCGTGTGTCTTTCCCTCCTTCTCCTTCCTCCTCCTCTCCATCATCAGGAGGTGGACCAGCGCTGGTCAGAGTATCAGTCCAGGTTCTCCTCTCTGCTCCAGTGGAGCCGCCAGCATACGACCCTGATGGCCAACAAAAATTTCCCACAAAACCCTGTGGAACTCAAGGTGAGTGCCCAAATTGATTTATTCATCTTATGCAGTTTCTCATTACTTCCGTTAAATCAGTGTCAGCGTTTGTGTTCATATAAGCACAGAGAGAGGAAAAAGACTCTAATCTCTCTCTCTATAGTAAGTTTAAAGGATAAATTACCTTCAAAAACAGACAGAATGTATCAGCACCGTGTGAAAATTGTCTCTGTACAGACACAGTAGATTTATTATCTTGAGTCTGTAATTCAAATTACTGCACATAGCATGAATACAAACTGTTTCTCTAAACACTCTCTGCTTGTGGTGAGAATCAGATTCCTTCTTTGTTTCCTCGGCTTATTCTCCTCAGTCCCACCAACATGCAGTCAGGAAAAAAGAAAGCTGACAGGCAATTTCTGTAAAGCCTCCAGAGAACAAATAGAGGGACAGAGGGAGGGGAGGCCAGGGGTTTAATAAAATGGAGAACAACAGAAAGACGATGTTCGGCGAGCGAGAAAGAGAGTGAAGCATTCAGATTAAAAGGAAATAGTTTGCAGAGGAGAGGCATAATGTTGGAAAATGAAGAAAAAAGGAAGCTGCTGTGACATAATGTCTGAAGACTGAGGGAAAAGAGGGAGGGAAAACGAAGTAGCTTGAGATGACCGGAGAGAAACTGGCTAATGAGCACCCAGGGAGAGAGGCTGTGATTACAAAGCTTTTACCTGCTGATAACAGGTTTTGACTTTGTGCTTGACCTTAAACAAAGCCTTTGATAATACTGACCTCATAACACTCATAAGCAGCTCCTGTCTCTCTCCTCCTGCAGGCACTTTACAACGAGTACGTCCATTTCAAAGAGACGGAGATCCCCGCAAAGGAGGGCGAGAAAGGTCACATCGAACACCTCTACAAACTGCTGGAGGTAAGAATGAACAGAGGCAGGAAGGAAGAGAAGAACACGAGTGAGGGGGAAAAGAGAACAGAGTGTAGAGATGAAGGTGACCAACATTTGGCACCATGTGCACGGCTCATTTTGTATCATGGGGTTCAGCTCAGGGGGGGTCATGTGAATGTCACTGAGAGAGAGAGAGTTTTGTTGTGGATGTGTCTGTGTGAATTGAGTCATACGTTTCTCTCCCAGGCCAAGTCATCTCCACTGTCGTGCTGTTATCAATGCAGCAGATTGTTTGAATGAACACAAACTCATGATGTCTGATTATAGTTCCCCCTTTATTCTCACTCAGCTGATGTTACCAGGGTGTTTGTCTGTGGTGCGACTTATGATCGCTCAAATATAACTCTGATGTAATGATGTCTTTCAGTGGAGTGTGTTAATGCACTTGCACTGAAGCTTGATGGGATATTAAGTACATTTTTATCCTGTGTGTGTGTGTGTGTCCAGGTGTGGATAGAGTTTGGTCGTATTAAGCTTCCTCAGGGCCTCCATCCCAATGACCTGGAGGAGGAGTGGGGGAAACTCATACTGGAGATGCTGGAGAGAGAGAAGGCCCTACGGCCAGCTGTGGAGAGGTACACACAGTACACACAAATACACACATGCACACACACACACAGGTCCAGTCAACTGCCTACTTTGACCAGGATGCATGTAATTAGATGAAAACCGCTGATGCAACTCTTGGTGTGTGATTTTCAGGGACATGTCCCTTTAACCCGTGTGTGTGTGTGTGTGTGTGTGTGTGTGTGTGTGTGTGTGTGTGTGTGTGTGTGTGTGTGTGTGTGTGTTTTCAGGCTAGAGCTGCTGCTTCAGAGAGCCAACAAGATCCAGAACATGGCTCTGGACTGTGAGGAGAAACTCACGCTCGCCAAGAACACACTCCAGGCTGTGAGCACCGACCCTCTCTCATCCTACACCCTTTTAATTTCACACACATGCACACACACATGCACGCACGCACGCAGGGTCCTCAGGTTTACGTAGGGTAAATGTTTCATATTCTTCATAATAGTTTACAGTGTATTAATGTGTTAAAGCTGTAACAGTAAGTGCGCTTCTGGGACAATAAATATTTACTCACCACTTTCCCTGGATTCTGCAGACACAGAAACACTGAGTCTTCCCTCTGCCAGTCAGAATGGAGACAAACTCACCTTAAAGACCTCTGTCTTTTCAAGTATTAGTCTTTAAAAAAAAAAAAAAGCGTTTTGTAGTGTTCTTATTCTCACTATATTAATCCAGTGTTTTCTGCTGCATTGTCTTGCTTTTCTCATAAGGCCTACTTTGATTTCACTATGTTGTCTACTGAATCGATGCCTTGGGGAAACACTAAACCTCAGAATATCGCAGCTCATCAAAAAGTACCTTTGCACATAAACCAAGTAAGAAAATCAACGGAAAAACTAGCAAACAAAACCTGATCAAATCCTCCATCCTCTGGTGTCCAGGACATGTCTCGGGTGGAGAGCGGCGAGGCGGTGCAGTGTGAGAAAGAACTGGCCTGTTACCTTCAGGACTGTGAGTCTCTGATCAGACATCTCAACCAGGAGCTCAGAGTCCTCCGAGATGAGAAATACTACCAGGTGGAGCAGCTGGCGTTCAGGTGAGTCAGGAGAGAAGAGGTTGATGGATAAAGATTTTTTTTTTTTTTTTACTCCAGTGAAGAACGTGTGGTAATAAGTGTTCAGCTCTATGAAAGTGGTGCTTGTATAATTAATTAAATTTAATAAGCAGGAATGCAAACAGCTCGTTGCACCTGATTATAGGTCAATCATTTGCATTATTTTGCCATTAAATCCTATTAAAGTGTAAAAATGAGCTGCGATGTAAATCAGCGCTGCCAGAAAAGAAGCAGAGAAAATCCCCATTTTGTGATAATTCAGCTCCATCAGTTTTAGAATTTTAGACCTTATGAAACTTAATGAAACAGCCATTTTGAAAAATTTCCACAGTATGATGCCCTTTAATGTAGGACTGCAGCTATAGCTATAGAAACTGCCCGATTTGAGCCTCTTTCTTCTCAGTATTTTGCCCACAAACTATCGAGGACAAGCTGTCAAGGCAGCTATGAGCTTTGTTGGACGTCTTGAATGCACGGTTAAATGCTTCTCTCACTTTAATGCGTTTCTGGTCTCATTGTATGACACTGTAAGACAGGGTCACAGCTTGAAATCACTTTACCTACTGGGGAAATCAAGGCAGGGAACGTAATAAGTACCAGTCCGCCCTCCAGTCACTTTTATTATTATTACTTATTTTTGTCCCCCACCCCCAGAGTGTCCTGCCTTCAGGAGGAGCTGGTCTCCCTCAGACTGCAGTGCTCCAGTGTCTACAGGAAGGGACATTTCTCTCAGGCCCTGGGCAGCACCGGGGCTGAGCACCCCACCCAGCGGGCCACTGACAGCGGCCTCTCACTGGGGCAGACGCTGCTGGGAGCTGTGGGAGTTGTCGGGGCTGTCGGAGCAGCGCTCCTGCGGCGACCCATGGCTCGCTCCCAGCTGGTGGCCATGTCTTCATCAGAGGACGAAGGAAGCCTGAGGTTCATCTACGAGCTGCTCGGATGGGTGGAGGAGACACAGGTCGGTCGCTGTAATACTTAGATTTAGTTTGAGTTATTTTATTTCTGGATGTTTTTCTCTTTATTTGATTAATGATTTGGTTTATGATCAGAAAGACCCAGAGTACAAACAGAAAATCAGAGAAGCAGAAACTTCTGCTTCTGATACGAATAAAAAAAGAAAAGAGATTGTATGTCATGAAGTGATTCTTCAACCTTCTACAAAATACCAAGAAAAAGAAAAAAAATCTCATTATGATACATTTTTTATATTTCAATGGAAAATGTGATTAATTAATCCACAGAGTCATTTAATCTGAAACAGTCATAGAGACTGAACAGCATTAACAGAATCAAATCTACATTCAAAAGGCATTACAAGCCGGAGAACACATTGAACTGATACTGAGGGGCGAGGTAGTCATTCAGAAAAATGTAAAATGAGGGAAAGAGCTTGTATTTGTATGAACTGTGGGTCTGTGTGTGTTACAGGAGCTGCTGGAGCGAGCTGAGTGGGGCGCAGACCTTCCCTCTGTAGAAAACAACCTCCAAGAGCACAACAACATACACACTGCAGTCGAAGAGCTAATGAGCAGCCTGCAGGAGGCACGCAGCTACGAGGTACACACACACACACACACACACACACACACACACACACACACACACACACACATCACTCATTCACAGAGGTCTCTGCGCTGAGAGTTGTGGTTTGTACTGAAGCTGTGCCGTCTCTTGTCCCACAGGCAAAAGTTTCCCCCAACTTCAAGAGCAGTTACTCTGAAACCCTGGCCAAGCTGGAGCACCAGTACTGCAAACTACTGGTCAGTGTCAAAACAAGAGCTGTGTGTGTGTGTGTGTGTGTGTGTGTGTGTCTGTGTGTCTGTGTGTGTGTGTGTGCATGTGTGTGCGTGCGTGCGTGCTTTGTTTCTCAGTTCACCCCCTCCCTCAGTTAATCCCTTTACAGCATGACAGGATTCTCATGCTAATAACACACAAATCTGCATCTGCTCTCTCATTTGTTCCTTTCCCTAAATTTCTCTCTTTCATTTCTTTGTTCCCCGTCGCTTCTGCTCTCTCTCTCTCTCTTAACATATTATTAGAGCTACATTTGTAATAAACTCCTGTATGTAAGAACACCTGCTTATAAAATTAACCTTGTATTTCTTGAATAAAAGACTCTTAGAGTTGTTTTGGTTTTAGTCTCTTAAAGCTTCATTAACAGTCTCCAGTCAGTTCAGCTGCCTTATTTCTGCCTGCTGCATTGTTTTTTCTTAAGATTCATGTGCTTACAGACGCACTTATAACAATCTAAGTGATAATATTATCCAGAGGAACATTCAAAGTAGAGCATTACTTCTCTTCTGTGAGGCAAAAACATTCACTTGGAAAAAATAAACCGCAGATGTTTGTGGTATTAACGTCACTCGAATAAAAGTGCCAGTGTGGGATTAAGGAAACATTAATTATATGTGTTCAAATATGATAATCACTGCCTTGACTGATTTCTCATGACTATAATATCACAAAACAGTTTATATATGCTGCAGGAACTAAAGGAGAAAAAGCACAGAGCAAGTTTTCTTTGATAGTTTAAGAAATACTTGATGGATGATTTATGATGCTTTTTAAAACATTCCTTTTTCTAGAGAAGCTTATATAAAGACACGTATTTAAAATGGCTCATTAAATACCTATTATTCATATTCAAAGGCCAGTTCTGTTGCAGTGATTTGTCTTTCTTTCTTTCTCCACATCACTTTATTTCGACCTTAAAATCTATGTAAATGAACCAAAACCATTTCTCTCTCTCTCTTTCTCTCTCATTTCTCTCTCTACTGCTGATCAGCATGACGATGATGTATGTTTGTGTGGTTGCCATAGGAACATTCGTCATGGCGCCTGCGGAGCTTGGAGAGCCTGCATGCGTTTGTGTCGCACTGCACTGAGGAGCTGATCTGGCTCAACGAGAGGGAGGAGGAGGAGATCGCCTTCGACTGGAGCGACAACAACACCAACATGAACGCCAAGAGAGAATTATACAGCGTGAGTGGAGGAGGAGGAGGGAGAAACAGATGCACACTGATGGTTTCCTCAAGTCAAAAACAAAGACCACAAACCTCTGTAATTTTACAGGAAACGCTGATGTTATTGTATCTGAAAGAAAAACAGTAGACACGCATAAAACAAGCTCCAAATATGCCCAAACATTTATTCCACATACAGAAAATCTGAACTCAGACAAGAAGTACTGTTTGTACACAGACAGTGTTTTAACAGTCAAGTGTCATAAAATCCTGAAATCAACCATCCTTGTGTTTACAGGAAATGAGGGAAGAGCTGGATGAGAAACGAGACATAATGCGGTCACTTCAGGAAACGGCCAGCCGTCTGTGTCAGGAGAACCATCCAGCCAAACAGACTGTGGAGGTGAGTGTACGAATCCATTCAGTTGAGCTGAATGACCTTTAAAGATGTCGGGGTTTTGTGTCCATGACTCTTTTTGTGGGAACTGTTCAAACAAAATCTCTTTGTTAAAAATGCTCCTTGACAGCAAACTTGATGTTTTGTTTTGTTTCACAGATTTATTATTATATTCAGAAGAGCATAAAAATTCATCTGACCTTTTGTAAACCTTTTTGGCAAAGAGGAGAAACTGCTGTTTGCATCTAATAGAAACTACATGACAATGAAAAATACTGGAATAACAATACGTATCTGGGGTTCGGTTTCCACCAGTCACATGTTCACATGTTCCTCCATCGCTGCTCAGTTGAGAATAGTAAAGGCCAGAAAATGAGTGAAATCCAGAATCTTTAGATGCCGCCTGAAAACCTGACTCTGACTGTGCTGATCAACATCCAGCCATGGTCCTTTAAACATATACATGCCCCCTTTGCTAGATTTTATGAGTGCTGTGTGACAACCTCTGTCAATTTTCAATTTCAATTCAAAGCAAAATTACAAACATTCAATGGAATCAAGTTATCAAAGAAAAAAAATGTGAATAACATTATTAATTTAATAAAATACAATAATGGTTTGAAGGAGAAAAAAGCACAATAAAATTATATCCATATACACAGACACATATATACACATGAGATAAGATGTACCTTTATTGATCCCCCATAGAGGAAATTCAAATATTTATACATAAATATTCATATATACATATGTAAATATACGCATACATAAAGGTATACATACACATAAAAGCAGCTCTCAAATAAAGAAAAAGGAGGCGTGCTGTTATGAATGATGGTTGTCTCTCTCTTCCCTCTGTCTCCATCTTTCCTGACGTCATCAGGCGTACAGTGCAGCCCTGCATACTCAGTGGCAGTGGGTGGACCAGCTCTGTGTGTGTGTAGAGCAACATCTCAAAGATAATACGGCGTACTTCCAGGTGAGACTGAAAGTTTTATTACAGTGTTTATCATGTCAATGTCTGAGCAAGACGTGTAGTAGCTGTCCTCCTTGTTACCAGTGTCGTCTCGGCAAATCGCAGCGTGAGGTTTTTAGAAATGATTTAGAGGAACATGTTTGTTTGACTTTCATTATACACTCAGGCCTCTGACTGCCAAAACATGATGGTTCTTTAATTTAGAATGAGGATAATTATTCAGTCCTCAAATTTGTTTCTATTGAAAGTGAATGAACTATTGCAGTAAAATCATTTATGTTCATCCAAATGTTTCAATCTCTGTCTTTTTTTAATGTTTCTTTAGTTTATGAGTGACGCTCGGGAATGTGAGTCGTACCTGCGGCAGCTCCAGGAAACCATCAAGAGACAGTACACCTGTGACAAGAACAGCAGACTGAGCAAACTGGAAGACCTGCTGCAGGACTCCATGGTATCTGCTCTGTATCTCTGTAACTCTGAGTCTCAGTTCTATACAGGGAAATGATATAGTCATCTCTGACACGGAGCAGTGCCCACAGAGTTTTCCAACTTCTTTCCCTCTAGATACAAATTCTGCCTTTATTACAGCATCTTTTTATTTCTGTTAAACCTCGGATTCATCTGAAGTATGTTTCACCTAGGACCTTCAGTCTATGGTCCAGATTTAGTCTATTTAATGCTAAACCCCAGTGGAGCTTTTTTAATAGAGGTTAGTCAACACTAAATCTCCATTTCCAACGAGAGTCTTTCATTCACCATCAAATAGATAAATGTCTTTCTCTCACAATAAGGACCTCATGCACATTGTGTCTTAATTCCAGTTTTAGTTTCTATTCAGAATACAAGAAGCTCAAGTTGAACTCTGCCCCCATCATTTTATATATTTATTTGTTTATTCCTGCAGATGTTTTTATGATTGACTTTTAATATTCACAGGGGATTATTTGCTTATTCTTCTAACAGCTCCAAATGATGTCATGTAATACACAGTTTGTTTATCCCAGTTTACAGGGTGTTCCCTAAGGTTCAGAAGGAGATGCTGCCACCTTGTGTGCACACTGCAAATCTAAACATGACATATTGAAAAATGATCCTGGACTGAGACTTGAACATGAATGAATGGTCATATTCTAACACAGAAGGAACAGTATCTGAGGTGATAGTGACTGTTGAGCTCGGCCTCAGGCAGCTGCAGCACGCCACACCACAGGGCCAAGTAATCTGTTCGCTGAGTCATCCCCCCGGTGGCACATTTGTGATACTGCCATCTTCACACCTACCTTACTTACACACACACACACACACACACACACACACACACACACACACACACACACACACACACACACACACACACACACACACCTCTGACTTCAAGCAGATGGCAGAGTTAGTGTGGGCAGCTCCACAGGTCAACTGAGCATATCCTCCCATCAAAAAAGTGTGTGTCACAAACAGCAGCTCTTTTCACTGATCTGTGTTGTTATGTACTGTACAGTGTGTGTCTACATTCACATGCCATAGAACGATGTTTACCTCTCTGCGTGTTAGCGTCTGTCTGTCTGCCTCTGTTTGTGTGTGTGTGTGTGTGTGTGTGTGTGTGTGTGTGTGTGTGTGTGTGTGTGTGTGTGTGTGTGTTAATCAGTTTCCAGCTCCAGTTAATGAGATTTCCAGTTCGCTCTGCTCCATTTCTCACTGAAAGATGAACTGATTAGATCATGATGGTCAAAGGTCAAAGGTCACTGTGACATCAAAAACACATTTTTGGCCATAATTCAAGAATTCATACACTGATTATGACAAAATACACCTACTCCTTCAATTCATCCAAAGTCTTACCCAAGATTTTTATGGATGAACTGATAAGGTCTTGGCTGTCAAAGGTCAAATGTCAAGTCAGTGTGACCTCACAAAACACTTTTTAAATTATGACAAAAATGTGTCATAATTTCTATATATGACTCTGGATAAACAGGGATGTAACCTTGAACTAGTCTGAGTGGAGGAGATGGCAATTCTAATTTTAAGAAATCAATTAATCATCATCAATCATTGAAGCAGTGCTTCTCTTATGATCTTAATTGTTTTTATAGTTTTAGTTGTTGATCTTGTGGTTGTAGTAATTAATTAGAATTCCTCATGTACCCACATGTTGATTTATGACTGTACAAACTGTGTTTGTCAGTTAACTTGTTTCGGTCCAGCAGTGCCGCTGACTGCGCTGAATCTCATCTCAGTGTGAAATTCATCTCAGTGTGAAATTCATTTCAGCGGCGTAATGTATAAAGTTATTACCACCGGCCCCCCTCTCAGCTTCCCTCTCTCCATCTCATTCTGTTGCTACCTCTCCCTCCGTTGATCTCTTTCTTGCTGTCCCTCTCCTCTCAGCCCGTCTCCCTGTTTGTCGCTCTGTAATGAATCCTTAATGACTCTCTCTGCTGGGGGCGAGACAGAAATGAAATGTAATTCCAGCAGTCAGAGTGAAGAGCACACAGTTAAATGTTTCATGGTTTGGACTCCACACATCTCAGGAGCTACAGGCTAACTAGAACTTGCAGGATTTGCACTTTATCTAATGGAACATGTTGTTGAACATAATGCGTTTAATATGATTTGAGCAGATTCTTGTGTTGTCAAATCAAAACATGTCAGTGAAAGACACACAGTCATACTCTTAGCAATGCTAGCAGCTCTAGGGATGACTGTGACGTCAGTCCACCACTGACATACATTCTGAAATATCTCAACAACTATAAGATGATTTTGGCACAAACCTTTCTACACACGGTCGTAGTTCTCAGGCGATGCATTATCACGACTTTGAGGACCCCTCAACTTTTCTTCTAACGCCACCATCAGGTTAACAGCTGTGATTTTGATTGAAATGTCCTAAGGAGAGCGTTCCACAATGTGCCCGGGCTAATAGCTAATAGCAAACGCCCGGTCACCCTTAGTCATAAACTTTGACCTTCGGGGGGGAAGAGCCGACCTCCTTCCGCCTATCTCAATTGTCGGTTGGGCACATACCATGTAAACAAATCAGAATGCAGTTGGGGATTGAGCCGTTTAAGGCCTTAAAAGTCAGCAATGAAATTTTAAAATCAATCCGAAATTTAACAGGGAGCAAATGAAAGGAGGCGAGTACCAGAGGACTGTTAAACTGTTCAGGATCAGTAGAGTTCATTGACAGACTCACAGAACATTATAACTTTAAGACTAACTAGAACCTGAGGTGATGAGCAGTTTGAATGTCTAACGATTTCTCTCCGTCCTGCAGGAGGAGAAGGAGCAGCTGATCGAGTACCGCAGTACGGTGGCAAGTCTGGTGGGCCGGGCCAAGACATTAGTGCAGCTCCGCCCCCGCAGCGCAGAGAGCACCCTGGGAGCCACCACACCCATCAAGGCCATCTGTGACTACAGACAAATAGAGGTACGGCACCCACATATATTATACTTCATGAGCACGTGGGTGTGCATGTTGTTCCTTTTCCTCTCAGTGAATAGTTAGTGTAAGTTTCTGATGCTGAAAACCTGGACTCTGTGAATCTCTCCAAGCAGAAATAATCCAGTCTTATCTCAGGTGTTAATGAAGGTTTATATAAGGAGCTCCTCTGACTACCAGCACAAGGTCGTGACAAATGATGTTTATATTTAGCACCAGCTCACCGCTGACCTCACCACTCTATTGTTTTGACCCTTACCACGAGCCGCCTCCTCTCCGCCCTGCACTCTCTCTCTCCAAGCCTTCCCCACAACCACTCTGTGGCTTCTCTATTTTAGCTGCTTCCTCCACGCTGTGAACTTCTTCTTTAGACTGATGACAACGTCTACACAAACTCTTTTCTCAGTGTAGGTGCTTTTATATTGATGAATAGATTACAGCAGTGGAAGTTTTTTTGGTAACATTTCAACACAACTGTTTTCACTTCATTCTAACTGGCACATACTGATAGCAGCTCTCAGTTTAGAAGCTGAAGAATAATGGCGGCGATCCAGAATCTATCACTGACATAATTCTCACAATAGATGATTTTTTTTTTTTGCCTTTGTTTGCCTCAGAAAAACTTGCTGTGATTGGATCTTTGCACGAGCCCAAAAATAGCCAAAAGACACTTGGAAGAGATTTGAAGCTGTGTGCCGTTTTTTCCCTCAGTGCCACTTTTATTTAACACATAGAAACCAGCGCAGTCTTCCTCTCTCTGCATCTCACTCTCAGCTGCTATGTCCTCAGGGAATCTAAAAGCTGATCAATTATACATCTGTCCCATCCCCTCTGCAGGCCAAGCTGAAAACCATCACCTAGCTCTCCAGCAGCTTGGCACGGACACACAGCTGCCCCCTAATGCTGCTATTTTTAGTCTGCTGTGTTAGATTCCTCAGGGTCGATTTGTTCACTGAAGCGTGCTGTATGTGACGTGTTGTATCCAGGTGAAGGTGGTTTGGTTCTCTGCCGAAAAAACACTAAAATAAAGCAGTGTGTGCTGATATTCACCAGACCAAAGTGCACATGACCAAAAGTAATCTTTCTCTCCTTCACTTTCCTGTGTGTTCTCCTCTCTCTCTCTCTCTCCATACCCCTATGTACCTTTTTGCCTCTCCCCTCTCGCTCCCTCCTCTTCCTCATCCTCTCCCCTTCCTCTCGTCTGTCGGCTGGGCTGGCAAGACAAACATTCAGGTATAACTGCCTATATTCTCCCTCTCTCACCTCAGATTCTTACACTGCACACACTATGCTGTGGTTGCCCCTCTCCTATCAGCTGGTCTTAGATCCAGATTTAGTTTCTCTGCTCACTGTGAGTCTGATACCAGCCCTGGTCGGTGTCTTAGGGTAAAACTGTGAGCTGTGTATTATTTAAAGGAATTAGCAAAAAGCAGCACTCTAGTGAAAATTTGCAAAGAAAGTTTGGTCACCCCAAAGACAAAGAAGCTGTCTCGAGGAAATGGCAGGTTTTTGAAGATGTAACAGTGAAAAACACTGGCAGCAGTTTGATCTGTGTGTCTTGTCATGTAGTTTCATTTTCTACAGCAGCGGTTCCCAAACGTTTCCAACTCATGGTCCACTTGAGAATTTAATAAATGTCGGTGGCCCACATCCGACCCCAAAACAAGACAAGTATATAATGTGGTCCAGCCAGCGACGACTGCAAAGTTCCTACCGGAGGCTTATCGTACTTATCAGCTTGTTTGTTTGTTTAATTAGATCCCATTAGCTTTTGCATTGCCGCAGCTATTCTTCCTGGGGTCTGTACAGGTTTGATGTTGACAGTACAACCATACATATCCACAGTGTTCACCACAACACAATAATACACATAACACAATACACGACACATAGTAATGCACATAATAAAAAAGGTGACTCAACAAACACAAAGAAAATAAACAGTGATCGGCTTTAATACGAAAAAAAAGAAAAGAATGAAAGATTTTCAACATTTTGAAGCTGTTAAAGATCATTAAGTTTTTAGACATTTAAAAACATTATTTATATTTTTATTTATTTATAACTCATATTCATATAATATATATTCATCATTTTTTCACAAAAATTGTAATTGTAACTTCATGGCCCAACAGTGGGCCACAGACCACAGGTTGGGAACCACTGTTCTACATATTAATACCTGCACACACTGAAGCTTCTGTAAATTACTGGACTCACTAGAGGGGAAACTGCTTTAGTTTTTTTTTTGTAATTTGTGTGTCACTGATTGAATTTGTAGTTTTTTCCTCTGGAGAACTACAGTAACTGTCGACTGAATCGTTCACTCACTAACGTGCTTTTAAACAGTGATGCAGTCACTCAGCCTGAGAAACATAAATGAATACATCTACACTGTAACCACAAATCTTTGAACTAAACCAGGTTTAATGAATCATAACTTCCACCTCTAACTTCAGTCCCTGACAACAAAGTTTAGCATCGATCCAGATTATCTAGAGGGATATTGACTGGTAGTTGAACCTTGCAATGGGTCCTGGATCGAGACCAGTGGATACGGACTGGTAGCAACCACTGAGCTGAACTGAACTGAATTTAACACCGAGGCTCATTCAGTCAGCCAGACATTAACAAGTGGCAGCTTTGAGCTTTAATCTACATTTCATGTATTTACTGTATGTGCACAGCTTTGCATTATTGATGTACAGTATCTGATGTGTGTGTGCAGGGCAGGGGTGAGAGAGGGTGGTGGGTGGGGGAGGCAGTACAGCTGTAGGCTTTAATGTGCAGCCCTAAAAACTCTCTCCCACAGTCATGGCTTTGCCTTTTCTATATTTTATTTTATTTTAAAACTGAATTTTCCAGATTCTAATCCCAAACTCTCTGTTTTTGTCCTGCGCTGGGTTTCTTCAAATCTCCTTGTCAGAAATGTTTTTTGTCTTTGTTGCTGCTCAGGTGAATTCTAGAAATCCAGCCCAGGTGTCAATAAAGTTTGAGTTTGGAGAATATTTGCTGCTTTCACAATAAAAGCTTTTCAGTTCAGAGGTGCAAAGCAGCAACTCTCTAATGTCATATCATGTCAGGGCTTCTGCTAACTTCATGAAACCCATGAATGTTTGTATTTTTTGTTGCATTATGAGTTTGTTGCGATCAGCTTTTGGTTTACGTGTTTTCCCTTCTCTCCTCCTCGATTTCACCTCCCTCGCTTTCTTCCTCTTTTCCATATGACCTCTATTCCATCCATCCTGTCTTCTAACCGCTGTCATCTTTCTTTTTCACCATTTCCTGACTTTCTAATCATTTGTCCTCCCTCTCTACTAATTATCTCTCTTTTCCATCTTGTTCTCTTCATTCAAACTTCATCTGTCCGTCTTTACTCCCTCACTTACTCCCAACACCTGTTTTTTCATAACCCCTGTTTTCCTCCCTTCCTTCCTTCATCCTCCATTTGTTCTCCTTCTGTCCCCCTCTCTGTATCTTTGCATCCATTCTGCACCTCCACCTCCTCTCAGATCACGATAAGTCGAGGAGAGGAGTGTGTGCTGGAGGACAACTCTCAGAGGACCAAGTGGAAGGTGATCAGTCCGACAGGGAACGAGGCCATGGTCCCCTCAGTGTGTTTCACCGTCCCCCCTCCCAACCAGGAGGCCATCGACACAGCCAGCAGGTCAGACTGATACTGATACTGATGCTGTGTCATTAGGGGGCTGCGCTTTCATTTTGTAGATTCATTTTTACGTTTGAAATACACAAGAAATAACAGGATTATTGATATTTTATTAGTGAAATATGAATTAACATATTCTACTAATAAACACAAAACATAAAAAATCATTCATTCAATATGTCTGAACTGTAGAGGCTCTAACTGATATAAGTCAAAACTATTTCACAATAGATGTTTGAAGATATGAGTAATAATGTTAAAGAAGCAGATTGTCATGTATTTGGTTTAAAGATTTAAAGATTCATTCTACATTTTCATGATTCTTGTAGAAATCTCACAACATAGTGGATTTTTGTGTGTGTGTGTGTGTGTGTGTGTGTGTGGGGGTGTGTGTGTGTGTGGGGGTGTGTGTGTGTGTGGGGGTGTGTGTGTGTGTGGGGGTGTGTGTGTGTGTGGGGGTGTGTGTGTGTGTGGGGGTGTGTGTGTGTGTGGGGGTGTGTGTGTGTGTGTACACAGGACAGAGCAGTTATACCAGAAGGTCATGTCTCTGTGGCATCAGCTCCATGTGAACATGAAGAGTGTGGTGTCCTGGCACTACCTGCTCAAAGACGTCAGGACTGTCTCCGGATGGACCCTGGACACGGTGAGACGCAGTGTGTGTGTGGTAATTGATCCATTAAATGTTGAGCTTTTAACTTTAAGGAGGAGGCATTTGTGACAAGCTACCCTTGTACTTATCTTCTCTTTCTGTGTCTCACCTCTAAGGTTCGATGCCAGTCTCCCTCGGAGCGGCAGCAGGTCCTGGATCACCTTGAGTCCCAGTTTGCTGACTTCCTGTCGGACAGCAAAGAGAGCTCTCTGTTCACGCCGGCCGAAAGACGAGAGCTGGAGAAGGACGTGCAGCAGGCCCAGCAGCACTGCCAGAACCTGCTGCTCAACATGGAGACAGGTCAGTGTGACAGGGACCTGGTCTAAGTTTGATTTCACCCCCAACCCCCAGATAGTAGCTGAATATCTCTGTTACATGAGGTTTAATGTTTTCAGACATGAACCCTGCTGAACACTGAAGCTGAAGCGAAACGGTGGCTCTGTATAAGAGGATAAAGCTCAGCATGTCAGAGAACGTTATTCGTCTTCATTAAGTCATCTCTGGAGAGTGAACAGCGAGCAGATTTTTATAATATAATTATTATAATAAAAGTCTGTGTGTAAATAACATTTCTTTCTTCTCCAGTGGAGAAAGATGAGTCGGTCTCTCGGTCGTACCTGTCGGAGCTGCAGAACATCAGCCTTCGTCTGAACGAGGCCGAGCAGAGACTGATGAGGGGAATTCAGACTCCGCCCCCCAGCAGGCTGTCAGCAGACATCTCTGACAACACTGTCCAGATTGCAGAGCAAGAGGTCAGTTAGTTAGAGCCCCATCTGCTGGTAGAAATGTGCAACAACAACCTTTTTAACTTAGTAATTACTTTTATCAGTTAATATTTCTTGAAAAAAATATTAAATATAAAAAGACTAAAGAGTTTAATCTTTGGTTTCACACTACAGTAAAGGTTTTGTTGCAGTAAAACTTTTTTACACTGTTGTGATGTATATTAATAGCAAAACAAAAACTGAATTCATTGATTGATTCAAGAGAAATCCAAATATCCGATGCCAACCATGTGATCAGAAATGTGATGGTTGTTATTTTACTGATGTTAATGATTCTTCTGCCTCAAAAGTTCTAATCGTATTTGAAAATATTTGTTTTTATTTTATTAAACTGGGTGAACCAGTTGTGTTGTGCTGTCTTTTTTGAAAATGACTGATTTGGTAAAACCCATCTGTTTGTCAGTCTAGGATTAGAACAACAGGCAACATTCCTATGTTGAATTACTGTTTGCTCAGTAGAACAGTATTTTCCCTCATCTTGATCTCCATGTTTAGTTTTTTACCTTTAGCTAATCTCTTAAATTGTCGTTCCTCTCCAGAAGCTGCAGTCGGAGCTGGACGGCCTGCGCTCCAGTTTGGGCGACGTGTCTCGTCGCTGCGTCAGTTTCTTCGAGGAGAAGTCGACGTCCTCCAGCGTTCCCGTCCTCCGGTCCGAACTCAATCAGGCTGTGGAAAAGACAGACAAACTGCACAACCTCTCGTCTGTCTACCTAGAAAAGTAAGTGGGCTCTTTTTGTCTCCTCCCAGCGTTCTCTCCGATTGGTTAACTGTGAGATATGAAAAAATAGTATATAAATATTTAAAACGGTTTATTTATTCACCTCCTCAAGGTTGAAGACAGTAGACGTCCTGATTCGCAGCCTAGATGAAGTGGAGAGCCAGGTCAGGAAGTACGAGAGCAGACTGAGTGAAGAAGACATAGTTCCTGCTGACACCACGGCCATTCACAACCTCAGAGATCAACTTAGGGTAAGGGAAAAACTGTCACATAAAATCTTCTAACAACCAGCTAAAGGAAAAAGACTGACGCCGTGAAACTATTTGACTCCAACCTTCACTCTGCATCCTCTCTATTTCTTCTGCTTTCTATTTTTATCTCTCCCCAGAAGTGGCAGGCTGAGCTCTCTGAGCAGGAGGACATCTTCCAGTCTCTGCAGTCTGCTGTACATCGAGCCAAAGAGGCAGGGTCTCAGCTCAGCAGGCTCCACCCTGACCGCAGCCCTGAGCTGGAGCTCTACCAGGAGAGAGCCAATCAGATGGTAGAGAGATGGAACGGAGTCAGGAGACAGATGGAGACACGGTGAGCAGGACAGGGTGAAGATGAGGGAGAAAAAAAAAGTAAAGATTTAGGGAGGAGTGAAGGAGGAAGGGGAGGATTAATAAGTTAAAATAACAGAGTGAGGATGAGTGTTTCGTCACTCACACTGTGCTCTGATCTCTGATTATGTAGAGAAATTTATAATGACAAAGCAAGTGACGAGCCACTGCTAAATACCTCATGTACAAATACGCTATACTTTTTTTGTGTGTTAAATGTCTTTTCCTGTTTCACTGCAGACGAGCTGACCTGGAGTCTCTGGGCTCGGCCCTGCAGCAGTACAGAGACGGTCACTCTGCTTTGATCAAGTGGATCGAAGAGACGACAGAGAGACAAGAAAACACACAACCCGGACAGAGTGACAGCAAAGCACTGTCTGAACAGCTGGCCCAGCAGACGGTGAGTCACACTGACATCACTGACTTAAATCTGTAGAGCGATGCACTGATTGGACAGTTACCTGAAAAGATAATGATGAAATGATTGAGTCCATTTGTGACAGGTGATAGAAACATTGTTTTGCATCAAATGGTGGAAAAACAATAGAAAAACAAAGTGGATCCTACACATTGTATCTGATTGATTTAAATAAATGATTATTTTTGGCTGGTTTTCTTTTCAGGCATTAGTAGCTGAGATTGAACAGAATCAGACCAAACTGGATGAGTGTCAGACTCACTCCAAACAGTACTGCACCTCAGTGAAGGTAAGACACTGTTCCAGAAATCTCTCTTCATGTTGTTTTTCATAAACAATATTTCAAAAGTGTGAAATTGTATATAAAGATTTTTACTTGTTTTAATAAAATGGTCCTAATTATCTGATAGTCACTGTGTTTACATGTAAATGCATTTGATAAGTGTCTGTTTGCAAACATCATTACATTCCATTTTAAAATATACTTCAATATTCTCTCTGTAGATGTATGATTGCACAGCCACTGTTCTTACTCACTAATGTTCCACTGTGGCTTGATTGTGTAGGACTATGAACTGGGCCTGATGACATATAGAGCCTTTGTAGAGTCGACACACAAGTCACCAGTCAAGAGGAGGAGGATGCACTCTTCCTCTGACGCCATCACTCAGGAGGTACGGACAGAAGAGACAGTTATAGTTAGTTATATATTTTATCTACAGCACAAATAATTAAGCTGGGTGTTTGTGTAACTCTGGGTGTATCTCTGCAGTTTATGGACTTGCGCACACGCTACACGGCCTTGGTCACCTTGACGACCCAACATGTAAAGTACATCAGTGATGCACTGAGAAGACTAGAAGAAGAAGAGGTGGGACTTTGTTTCACTATAAATCGCTATCCTCTTAAATCACTGTAATGAAAAATAAATAGAGTTTTTATATTTTTTTCAAGCAGAAATAAAGATTTTTCAGTTACGGATGATGTTTGAGATCAGCTAAATATGGTAATTAGTTAGATTTGTCTTATTAAACATGATTTTAATCGGTGCAGAAAGAGGTGGAGGAGGAGAAGCAAGCCAGAGTCGGCCAGGTTTCAGATCTGCTTGGCTGGGTTCAAGGCCTCCAGGGACGGACCGGGGGCCCCAACGCTGAGTCTTCACTTGCTGCTCAGCAGGTACAACAGACATTTAATATACATCATCGGATGAATGTGAAAAAAAAGTGTTGGTTCTGCTTTTCTGTTTAAGTGTAATATTGTACTAAGCATGTTGTTCATCTGTGTTCTCTGAAGGCCATCACTGAACAGCTAGCTGCCAAGAAGGATGAAGTGGCTGAAGCCATAAGGAGCACACAGGTGTTCCTGCTGTCAAAACAGGCCAGCAAGTAAGTTCAGATCATGTGCATGGACACACAAGCAGTCCATGATGAAGTGGGGAGCTGTTAGGGATCTGGATGAAACCTCACGGGAAGGTGGGAATATTAAGGGAGTGCTTCAAACTGACAGGTTTACAGTAATATACATGTAAGAGAATGATGTACTTTACAGCTTGTTTAACAAGCCGTTCAGCTGTTTTTCTTTGGGCAGGCTGTATTTATCCTTCTGGTAAATCAATAATAACAAACCATTTTAGTTTTGGAAACTTCTCTAACTTAAAACTGTTGAAATTTTAATGAATTTTGTCTCAAAACTACTTTGTGAAACCTGCGAATCACACACTCAGACGCACATTAAACACACGACCCTGCTCTAATCTCCTCCCTCTCCAGGTTGTCCCCAGAGGAGCGTGCTCATGTGGAGGCCCAGCTGGACGAGCTAACATCCACCTACAACCAGATGTGTGATAGCTCCACCCAACAGCTGCAGCAGCTGGAGCAACAACTTGCCAAAGAGGAGGAAAGAAAGGTATACTGGTTGGAGGGATGGGCTGAGATGGAGAAGAGGTTCTGCAGATTGATGACAAAAATTAATTTTCAAAAAGTATTTGTGAAGGTGCTTTTACAAAATGTTGCTCTGAGTCCAAATACGCTTGCAAGCTAAGCGTGAGTTCGTGTGTGTGGGCCAGCAAGAGTGCGTGTGTGTGTAAGTGTGTGTGTTGTACAGCATGTTGTGTGTTCACAGAAGGTGCATTTTTGACAAATATCACCACTTTTGACGAATCTCACTCATTGACTTGTTTTGGTTTAACAAACATCACAAACCCTGTTCAGACGTGTATCCAGATGATCTGAAAATTCCATTTTCTATTTCAGTTAATAATTTGGCAGTCTAAAAATGTAATCTTGAAACACTTCTGAAGCCCACTTTAATAAAAGGGATATTTTCTTAATGAACTAACACTTGCAGTAGAAATGTGTACACAGACGAGAATAGATGAACCCACTGGATGTCTGAACACTGTCTGAACTGGGCCCCAGCATGGAGTGTTCCACTCTCACATTGATCTAAAGGCCTGCAGTCATGTCATTAACTACCCCCACCCTAGTTTTTGTCATTGCCATCATCATTGTCATTATCATCAGAAAATACATCTGCTGAGCTGCTAACATGGTTAATACACGGCCTTAGTGGTGCCGCACAAGAGCAGCGCACATGTCTGACTCATGCTAGCAGTTAGATGAAAGCAGTAGAGCTCTGCTTTTCGTAGATGCATCTTTAGAACCATTTTCAAAATACAAGCACTTCCACATTTGACCATGATCATCTCTGTAGCTGCAAATTAGTATCATTTTACCCTTTTTATGTAGTGGTAAAAAGAATGCCACTGCATAAAGTCAACACATCACATTTCAGCATTTATTTTACTCTTCATAAAGTTTACCCCATATATACATGTACAATCACACAATCACACACACGTCCACAGTCAGCTCGCACTGTGTCTTCAAATTGTTCTTCTCCTGACATATGTGATACGGCACATTGGTCCAAAATGAATTGAATGTGTCTGAGAGTTTCAGGTTTCAACCAGGTCTCGATGATAATTCTTATGTTTCAGCAGCTGCACCTCATAATCAGTTCCTATGTGAATGTTATATAATGTTTACAGGGGGTTTTTATGCGACTAAAAAACTACTCACTGAAGCATAGAAGTTGGTTTACAGTATGAGAGCACCAGAGGCCAGCTACGCAAAATCCCACTTCACCATTTGAGCATGTTGTGTCCAGATCACAAGTGTGTGTGTGTGAATGATAATTTTTGTGTTTGTCCTAATGCATACTATTAATGTGTGAAATTTTAAACCGGCATTTTGCTTGGAAATCACTAACAGCAACCAGAGGAGAATTGTGGACGTCCGAGCTCTGAGCCGAGGATCAGAATGAGAGATGGAAAACAAAATCTGTTCTGTGTTATAAAGACTGAGATCAGGTTACTATTAGTTTAGTTTAAGTGGGAATCATCACAATCTAATAGTGTCACCATGCCTTGCCAATGGTAATGAGTATGTGCTAGACGATGTATTGCAAAATAAAAATTAATACTGTGCAACTGAAGAGGCAAACATACCTTTACAATGGTGTGCATCGTGGTAAATGTAATATGAATAATTCATCCCACCCTTTGTCAGTTTCAATCTAAAGGTGCCAGATGTAAGAAGTCATTCATAGTTTAATTTCCCCGAGCCTGCTCCGGTTCACAGTGAGGTCAGGATTTAGAGTCAGTGCAGTGTTAGGAGTCAGAATGAAGAGTGGCATGCCGAACGCTAACAACCAGCTTCTCACCTGTCGCGCCTCGCTGTGCCGAGCCATAAGCTGGCCCGTTAGTGTGTGTGCCACGGGACGAGCCCGTACGGTAAGTAGCGCTCGCTTTCTCTCTTACCGTTGCAAGTAAGTTTTTTTTTTTTTTCTCATTTAGACATTTTATTCTCTTCTTCTTCTTCTGAATACCTGTGTGTTCTTTAATGTGTGTTTGCTTACCTTTACCTAAAGCTTTTTTTATGCGTTTTTTGTTACTCGTTGCTTTGTTGCATGCTTAGTGCTTGTTTTAGAATAGCAGCGGTAAGTATTGAAGCGCTTTTTAATATCAAAGACAAGAAGAAGAAATTAAAATATGGGAAAGAAACAATCAAATTCCTAATATGCACAAACAAATAACATGCCAACAAAAAAGCTGTTATAGTATTTTTGATATTTTTTTATGTTATGTTTTTGTGTGAACTGGTTGTGGGTTTTCTTCTTTTTCTGATTCTATCTAGTTGCCCATTATATTCTTATAATAATATAAAATGATCCATAGTAACATAACATAATACATTTAGTGCCATACCACATTGATACCAGAATAAATGTCAACTAGAATTTTGTTTTCTTTCTTTTTGTAGAACCAAATCGCCATCGCTGGAGTCATCGACCTGGGAACAGTGGAAACATTCCCAGTGTTCCAAGCAGCCCGACGTGGTCTTATTGACCAGGACACCTGCCATGTACTACTGGAGGCTCAGCTCATTCTGGGGGGGCTCGCCCAGCCTGACTCCCCTCTCAGTCTGTCACTGGAACAAGGTCTAGCTCAAGGCCTCATTGACGCCCACACCAGACAGTCCCTTCATGAGCTAGAGGCTGCCCTGCTGTTGGTGGAAAATACAAAATCTGCTGATGACCAACAGCAAAATATGTTGCCGGTAGCTACGGCTATGGAGGTTGGGCTCATCAAGGAGGAAGTAGGACTCCGTATTCTGGAGCTGCAGCTGAACACTGGAGGCCTGAGAGACTCAACGGGGAAGATGATGAGTTTGGAGCAAGCTGAAGACAGAAGACTTTTGACTCCCAGAATCGTCACCAAACTCCAGTCCAGGCTGCAACATAGGGAGCTGATCGATCCAAACACAGCTGAAAAATTGAACCTGTATGAGCTCCAGCAACGCTGTGTCTTCGACGATGACTCAGGTCTCCTTCTCTTCCCTGTCAAACAGCAACCTGGAGGAACGGTCTGCCTCCGCTCCGGAAGAAAAGTTGGCATCTTCCGTGCAGTCCAGGAAGGTCTCATTGATCGGAAAGTTACTGTACGACTTCTTGAAGCTCAGCTTTTTGCTGGTGGTATTACTGACCCACGCTCTGGCCACCGGCTGACAATTGAAGAGGCTGTTCGTCATGGGCTTATGGACCAGGATCTAGCATGTGCCATGTTAGCACGTCAGCTGCAAAATGGGGGAATTCTAGATCCTTTCAGTGGAGAGCGCCTGGATTTGGAAGAAAGTATTCGCAGAAACCTTCTGTCCTCTCGTTTGGCTCTGTTGGTCCTCGAGTCTCTTTGGGCTTTCATGGGACTGCTCTGGCCTGAATCTGGAGAACTTCTGCCTGTTGCTGAGGCTCTTCAACAAGGAGTGATCTCAGGAGAGCTAGCAAGAAACATTCTCACACAGCGTCATGCCATTGGGGCTCTTTACGACCCAGAAACCCTCCAGGTGCTGGCCCTAAACCAGGCCCTCGAGCCCAGTGTAGTCAGTTTTCTCAAAGACACCCACATACCAGATGTTCTTCCGAACATGAATCAGTCTGGTACCCCATCTCTAAACCGCTTGAGCTGGGGCTCCACCAGCTCCTCTCCGCCTCCCTCTTCTCCACCCCCTTCATCATCACCTGCAGGCCTTGTGTTGGATGCTATGCCAACAGAAGGAATGGATCCTGAAGAACAAGCAAAACACAAGCTTCTGTTTCACCTCATGACTCACAGCTATGTGGATGCTCATTCTGGAAAACGGCTGGTGCTGCTGGACTCTGAGCTGTTGGAGTTGGTCAAAGCTACTGAACTGGTTGCTGGAGACTCTGTACAAGAAGTTGAGCCTGTGAGCGCTTTAGCTACAGATGAGCAGGTGAAGTTGAAAATGTTGAGAGAGATTAGTTTGACAGATAAAGGACTGAGTGACGAACAAACTGAAGTTGAAGAAGAAAGTTCGAATGGAGTCACACCAAGCAAGGATTTGGAGATCTATGGTACAGGTAGTCTAGAAGAAAGGTATGATGTAGAAAATGATAATAATTTGCTGCAGAAACCAACAGAAATTGTAGAGAGTGATTTAGCCTTTGAAGCTAAAGATGAAATCAGTGTAGATAAAGATGCAGAAGTAAAAGTTAAAAAGAAAGAAATGTCAAATGATGAAAGTGTAATGGCTTCAGCTAAAGGCCCAGGAGAGCTGGTAGGAACTGAATCCAAACCCAGAGATAGTGCTGGTCCAGAGACCAGTATTATAACTACAACAGTCGATAGGGTAACATTCACAGCACCACTCAAATCAGAGGAAGATATTCATTTAACAGAGTCTGAAGAAAGAAAAGATGTAAAACATTCTCAGATTGAATCAGACAGGATCGAAGAAAAGGTGCCTATAATAGAGACTGACACAAAGATGGCTAAACCTCAGGTTGATATTCCTGAATCAGCAGTGGAGAAGGAAAGGGAGGATGCTGAGTTGGCGAGGTTAGTCCTCGAGCTCAAACAGGGAGGACTGATGACGGAGGATGGGGAGAGGCTGCTTCCAGATGAGGCAGTAGCCCAGGGTGTCCTCCCCGGCCACACTGCAGTTAAATTAATGGCTCGGGCAGGTTTGTTTGGGGGTTTCCTAGATGCCAGCAGCGGCAAGTCACCTAGCATGGAGGATGTAATGCAGGAGGGCTTACTAGATGAAGAACTGATGTGGAGTGTCCTGAAGGCAGATAAAACCCTTGCAGGGGTTGTGGACGTAGAGAAAAGGCAGATCTGCGGGGTAAAGGAGGCAGCTCAGGCAGGGTTGATCGACCCCAACACTGCTGCTCGACTTCTAGAAGCCCAGGTGGCGTCTGGGGGGATCGTTGACTTGCGTAGGGATAAGAAAGTCTCTGTCACTCTCGCAGCAAACTTGGGACTGATTGAGGAGGGTCAAAAAGAAGAACTGGTGGCACTAGAGAAGGCATGCAAAGGAAAAGATACAGATTCAGCAACATCCCTCACAAAAGCCAGTTTACAGCTGCAGATGGAAGGTGTTATTGACCCAGAGTCTAAGTCTCCAGTTCCTCTGGAGCAAGCAATTCAGAAAGGGTTGATTAGGCCAGAGGAGGCTTATCAGGTGTTGGCAAGGCAGGTGGCAGAAGGTGGTATAATACACCATGCTTCAGGAATGAGGCTTTCAGTGTCTGATGCTGTAGATAGAGGATTAGTGGATCGGTCTATTGCTCCTGGCCTGGAGGAACTGGAGTGGGTCTACCAAGGAAAAGTCAGCCCTTCATCTCACCCAGACGCTGTTGTTCTCCAGGCATCAACAGGAACTATTTTAGACCCTGACTCTGGATGTAAACTTACATTGACAGAGGCAGTTTCTAAGGGTATCCTGGATGAGAACGTAGCCAGTGAGGCCATGGATTCTCCCACAGTGACACAAGGGGCACTCGACCCTCAAACTGCACGCATTGTGCCGTATTCAGAACTTGTAAACCAGGGTAAGATAGATATTGAAACAGGTAAACGTTTCTTGGAGGTGAAACCATTCAGAGGCATTCAAAATGAGCAAACAGGAGACAATTTTACTCTTTCTGAGGCAGTTGAATCAAAGCAAGTTGACCCAGTTCCAGCTCTGAGGCTCCTCCAAAGCCAAGCAGATAGTGGAGGGATCATTGATATCAAGACCGGAGAGAGGCTTCCCCTTTCTGAAGCCTGTAAAAGAGGTTTAGTTGGAGATGATATGGTGAAGGTAATAGCCACCAACCAGATTTTGAAAGGAGGCTTAGTTGATCCCACAACTGGACAACGAATCTCTAGTCTCACTGATGCTATTGCAGTAGGACTCATACCCAGTGACATAGCGTCAGAGATTCAGGACAAAGTGGCTTCTGCAGAGATAGAGGGTGATGACGACAGTTCTACACCTGTTGCCTCATCAAATGGTACATACAGCCCAGCTATTATATTGTCTGTGACAAGCCCTGATAGTCCATACAGCACTGAGGTGTCTTCAAGTTCTCCACTTTCAGAGAAAGGTGATACACAGGAGGATGGAAAGACATTAACATCTGTAGTATCAGACCCGTCAGCTTTCTATGACACTACTGCAGAAGAGGACAAGGTAGAAGTGCCGGTGTCAGTGGGAGAAGAGTCTTTAATTGAGCCAGACCAGTCTATGGACCTCTTGAGTAATTTTGCAGCTAATGTTGAGAAAAGAATTCAGCAAGCCATAGAAGAGATAGGACCACAGACAGACACCAATGAAACAGAGAGTCTTCCTAAACAGGAGCCTGATGAGAGCCTGCAGACTGATGAGAAACTAAAGGAGAGTGTTTTCAGTGATTCTGTTGGAGGATCCATGGACGCACCTGTCTATGAGATTGTCAAAGATTCCCAGGAAGAGGTCAGAAAAGAGGCTGCTACCTTGAAGGCTGTTGGGGAACCTGTGAAGGTTGGGGAAAAGAAGCGTAGACCCAGTGATGAGAGCACGTCAGTGGTTCATCATGTTTCTGAAGGTGAAAACCTGATGAGTCCTGTGGCAGCAGAGATTAGAGATGAAAGTAAAGACGACGTTGAATTGTCAAAACTGAGTGAGCAGGAATATAGAAAGAGTGATGCAGCAACACAGAGGGATGAAGGTATAGGTGGCAAAGGCAAAGCAGAGGAAAGAGAGAAATCTTCAAAGACAGAGATCAAATCAGGCACTGACGTTGAGCAGTCAGACCAATCACAGACATTTACATCCAGAGAGACAGAGAGCAAAAGCAAGAAAAAGAGGAAGAATAAAAAGAAGGGAAAGGGTAAAGAAGCAGAGAGTGAAATACCTGCAGACATAAAACGTCCAACTGAAATTGACCAAGCTGGTGCAGAAATAGAAGGGCAGCCTGAGGCAGCTACAGATGAGTTTGCATTACAAGACAAATTCGAGAAATCACAGATTCATGGTGAGGTGGCTTCCCTCAGCCCTCCCAATGGAGAAGGAGAAGGAAAGGTTGACTGGAAAGTTGAAGCCGAAAATGATTTGGTAAAACAGGGAGGTGAATCAGTTCCAGCCACTCTAGATTTCACAGAACAACCTGCTGAGCCAGAAAAGGATGCAATAAAAATGATGTTTTCTAAGGATGTAGAGAAAAGTGATAAGAAAGAGAAGGTAAAAAGAGAGGAGCAGAAAGAGGAGGTTGAAGAGAGGGCTTCTGTCTATCAACAACCAGAGGGCACCGAGGAGGCGAAGAAAGGCAAGGAGCAAGAATTGCCTCAGAAATCGACTCTACCAGACACTGAGAAAGCAGCGTTGATACTGAAAGCCAAAGAGAGCATTCTTAAAAAGGTGTTTGAAAAAGGAGTGAGTGAGAAGCAGGCTGCTGAGGAGCTGCAGGCGCTTCGCAAAGAGGTGGGGAAGAAGGAGAGTCAAGGCTCAGCTGATAAAGATGTAAAAGCACAAACTCTGCCAGCTAATGTTGATGGAGTGGAGAGTCGTGATATCAAAGATGATGGTGTCCAGAGACTGAATGGTTCACCAAGAGAAAGTGAGGAAGAGGTGAGTGTCCAAGGAGACGAAATGAAATTGACAAAGAAAGAAGATACGACTGTGGAGAAACTTTCTGCCAAGGAGGGAGTGGAGACCAAACTACCGAAGGCTCCTTCAACAGAGAGAGAGAAGATCAGGAGCTCTGGAACGGAAGACATAGAGAAAGATGTTGAGACAGCTCCATCAGTCCAGCCCAAAGAAATTCAGCCAAGTAAACGAAGTAAGAAGAACAAGAAAGCCAAAGGTCCAAAGGTGTCAGACAAAGCTGAGCCTCAAACTGAGAAGTTAACAACTGATGGAAAAGTGGATTCTGAGGTGACAACAACAAAGGTTACCACAAAACCTACAATGGAAAAACCAAAGTTAGATAGCTCAGCTTTGACTAAGGAGCAGAGGAGTGACAGACATACTGATGGTCAGGCAACCAGTGATGTCATCCAGCCTTCAGGTGGCGATGAGGCAAACAAAATGGAGACCTCTACAAGTCCTGTGAAAGCAGCTGAGACCATTCAACAAAGTCTTCCATATCAACCAGAGGAAGACATGTCTCACACTGAGGAACACAAACAAGCTGCAGAGGATACATCTGTTGGGAAAGAAGAATCCCTTCCAAAAAGTGAAGGTGAATCCATCGACCTTTCTCATGAAGCTGTCACATGCAAACCAGAGATCCAACCCACAGCTCAGTCTGTGGCTCCTGGCACACAGCCAGGTAAAACAGCTGGGAGAGGTAAAAAGAAGAAAGATCAACGACCATCAGAGGTTGAAAGTACCGATGTTCCTGAATCCAAATTCTTAAAAGACCAACAGCAGAATGTTGAGTCTCCAGAATCACCACCTTCGCTCTCAGAAGATGCTTCAACTGAGTCTGAATCACTTGGAGTCCCAGAGTCTGATACAGCCACTGAGAGCTGGGGCGAGGAAGAGGAGGATGTCAGAGAGAGACGAGAAGTTCTTTCAAACAAAGAGGGGACGACGTCCATGACTGGAAAGGTAAGAAAACGGAGAACATTGGGAAGGATTCACAACAAGTCTTCAGATACATAGATAAATAAATGTTTTGATTTATTTTAAGTATGTTATTATGTTTAAGCTTATATTTTTTTTTGTTTCTATTCCCTCAGTCTTCATTAAAGCGTCAGGAATGCTTGGAGCACGACCAGCGAATCGTAGCCCTGGTCTCCATGGTGAGACACATCGAGGTCCGACTCAAACAGCAGCAGCAACAATCTGTCGGCCGCAGCCTCATCGCCCTGGATGACATCATCAGACAGACTGAGGTGAATCAACATGTTGTACTCGATGCTTAAATTATTTTGCAGTTTCAGTTTTTCATTCGGTGTCCAGCGTGAGACACGAGACATGAGAAACAATAAAGCTGATTTAAGGATTAGTCTCTTACTCAACAGCATCAAGAAAAACTTTTGTTCTCTTTTCCTAATCTGTCCCTTAGACTCTGGACTTTGAACTGTGCGACTTGGAGCCTGAGATCACAAAGGAGGTGGAGGCCGCTGAGCAACTACTGAAGCCCCAACCTAAAGATGTTCCTCCGCAGCTCCTATTGGCTCTGGAAAAGGACGGGCGTAGCTTGGCTCGAGGGTACGAGGCTGCCAGAGCGCTTTCTGAGGGCATTCTGCAAAGTCTGCGCGACCACCGAGACTCATACAAGGTAAAAAGAAGCACTCAAGGGAAAACCAGAAAGGAAGTGTAGTAGATGCTTATTTGTTGTAGAGGTAACCATTAATCCTGAAAATTCCTCTTCCCTCTGTGTTGATGTTTGTGTTTATTAGCCTAGCAGCAGTATTTCATCACATTAACCTTCCTTTCAGGAGGCAGTAACGGCTGAGCAGAAGTCACTGGGAGGACAGGTGGAGAGTCTGCTCTCGTGGTTGAAGGAGACGGAGGCTCAGATGGATGGATGGATGGCAGGGATGGAAAAAACTGAGAAAGCGGAGAAAGATGATCGTGATCAGCTCACACAGCAGCTGAATCTTTGCAGGGCAAGTTGTCTGACGTGAACTTTTTAGTCGTGCCTCATGCATAAAACTTTATTATGATACAACAAAGACATTGTGTTACAGTGTAGATGCTAGGTGCTAGGACCTTAGTGCTAAATAAACAAGGATCGTGTAGCATTGTGGCTCTACATACAGTAAAAATACACACGGTTTTACTGAATTGTAAGGCATGTTTTTGTTTGTAGGGGGTTTTACATTGAACCACTGAGCTATGCTTGAATACTACACTGCTCACTTTCCTCTGTTCTTTTCCCTTCTTGAAGGAGCTCCAGACCTCTCTGATGGCTCGCTCCAATGAGGTCAACAATGTGGCCTTGGAAATTCAAGTGTTCATCTCAGAGCGGGCGCAGGACCTGGCCCCCGAACAGAGCAGGCAGCTCCTGGGGCAGCTGCAGCAGCTCCAGAGGGCCTTCCACAGAGCGTCGGGCCAAGCCCAGGCGTGGGCTGATGCCCTCTCTGCCCAGAGAGAGAGGGAGGAGGAGTGGCAGCGCAGGGAGAGGGTGAAAGAAGAGGAGAAGGACAGAGAAAGACAGAGTGCAAGGGAGAGAGAGGTTTGGAAAACGATGATTGAGTCAGATTGGTTTGAAATGCTGTGCTATTTCTCACTAATACATTTAAATGCAGTAAGCTTTCATATAGTGTATACACAGCTTTATTTGTCATGCTGTTAACTAGTGTCATGCTTTTCTTACACAAGATCTCAGTACTGTTTTCATAATCACTCATGTTATATACAATCATATGAAAGTGGTAAAGCCTGATGTTAACTAGCTAACCTCCACCACTGTAGTGCCATCATACATCATGTCGTCATGCCTCTCATCATTTCATACTTTGATAGGAACCCACTGCTGCTCTTGTTGCAAAGGCTTTGCCACACAGACAGAATTACCACCCTCACTTCTACCACACAGGCCTTTTATGCCAGCTTGTTTGCTCCTCTGCATGTCTCTATAACGTGTGTATTATTAACCTGTTTGCCTTGCTGTTCCAGATTGCCACTGAAGGAAATCTCTTGTGTCACGGCGGTAAAGGCTAGAGATTTGATAGCAGAAGCAGCCGCGCTTAAGTTACAGTGCTTCACTGTTTTTCCTCTTTTCTCACCTCAACACGGAGGAGAAAGAGGAAAAACAGCCAATAAAAAAAGATATTTGTATGATTTCTCTTTGTATTGTTTGTTGTTGCTTGATCAATATGTTGATGTCAAGATACTATATGTGTGCCTGTATGTCTGCCTGTGTGTGTGTAAGTGTGAACTCTGGACACAATCTGCTCAAAGCTTGGCAAAGTGTGCACTACACAAGAACTTTGTTTAGGGGCAAAAGTGCTTTTAGTGTGCTCTTATTTTAAGAAGTATAAAAGCTGGTTGTTAGGTCAAAACAGCAAAATGGTCTGGTCCGAATTATGGTAGATTCTTTAACAATAATTCATGTCACTATCAGTTTTCCTCACATTTTCTTCCTCTGGTGGGTCTTTGCTCTTTTTTCCTTCCTTTTCTCCTCCTTCGTTTCTCTCAGGTTGTCCAACAGCAGAAAGCCGAATGCTCTCAGAAACTAGAAGGCCTCACCATGTGGTTGGCTGGAGCTGCCAGTTTGCTGGCCAGTCAGAATGCGGGAGCAGAGTCAGGTGATGTGAACGTCTTGCAAGAGAAGCAGAAGAAACTAAAGGTATGAGACTTTCATCTCCCTCCACATCTAGAATCTAAAATCTCCCCAAAACACACAAATTAATCTGTGAATCTGCATTTTTTCTATGCACATGCAGACGCAGGTCATTATAATTATTCTTATAAGCTAATATTAGTTACTTCTGACTGCACTAATTTAAAGACTTTTGAACACTAGTGTGATTTATTTGCTGGATGAAAAGGTTTTACTTTTGACAAATCAATCCCATCTTCCTTCTCCAGGAAGTACAGAAGGATCTCAAGACTAAAGGTGAGGGCATAGCTGAGGCCATCCGCTCTGTGGAGGATTTCCTGGCTGATCGGGGAGAAAGTCTGAGCCCAGAGGAGAGGGAGAACCTCCAGGGGACGCTAGCAAGAATGAAGGAGCAGTACAGCACCCTCACAGATTCAGCAAACACGTCACTGTCAGAGCTGGACACAGCCATCAACACCACTGTGCAGCAGAACACACAAAGGGTAGGAAGAAGAGAGTGATTATACATATGGAATATTATATGTCCCTTTATGTGTTCTTTTTTTATTGTTTATCATTAAAAGTAAATAGATGCCTTTAGAGAGATAGTGGCCTTTTTAGATGGTAGATATCAGCCTGACGCTCTTCAATCTTCAGTTATCTGCCTATTTTTGCAATTCTGTTTGTTACGGTTCAGACAGTTACAGAATATGAATGAGAACAGTTTTTTTTTGTATCCATCCTCCTTTCTTCTTTCTCCACTCCTCTCCTCTAGGCTAAAGCAGTGGAGGAACTCCAAGAGACTCGAGGCCAGATTGACTCCCTGCTGAATGAGTTGTCCTCCCTAAACCAACCAGGCAGAAGAGGAGCTGGATCTATAGTGGCTCAACATGTTGTTGATGCACCGTCCTCACAGCCAGAGGGTGCTGTCACGTCACACACAGAGACGCTGCAGGTCAGGACCTCTAATCTACGTGTAGTGTATCTTGACTTCAACATCTCTTACTTTATTACCAGAGTATGACTTGTAACCTTTGACCTCTCTACCAGGCGGAGCTTCAGCAGCTCCAGTCTCAGCAGGCTCAGCTTCTTCAAATCACCCAGACAACTCGATCCCTTTTGGACCAACCGGACTCGACTGTTCCTCCTGAAGAGAAGCAGCGTCTCCAAGCTGCCCTGGACCAGCTGCAGGCCCAGCACCAGGACAAACTGCAGAGCTGCCAGGTACCTCAATTAAATACTGATGCTTGGTGTGTAAGGTAAGTCTTACAGCAGGAAACAGGATGCTGGTGATGGTCTCTGATATTCATTCTGATATTTTTGCTTTCATGAGAATAAAAGTGAACAAGACCAAAGAAAAGGGGGCAGGACAGCTCTTACATTTTCCTGCTGGGGATGAAAGGATCCATTTTATTGTCACCTTTTTTCTTGGTATTTTTGGTCTTAGTTGCTACAACTGTAATTGCCTCTTCTAGGAGCGTCTGAGGAAGTCTGAGGCTCTGAAAGATGAGTTGACCAAGTTCCTCCAAGAACATGGAAGTCTGGGTGCCTGGCTGGAACAGAGTGAACAGGAGCTCCGTTCTCTTGGGGAAGGAGAAACTGATGCACAAGGACTGAAGGGCAGGCTGGAGGAGCACAGAAAGGTACGTAAGATACACAATAATTTTAATGTTCATTTAATAATGTTTGATTAAAAAATGTAAATAGTTAGTCACATTATTTGAACTGTTACTTTTATTAATGTTCGACCCACTTTAGGCAAAGAAAATGAAATCTTCAGCATCTCTTGTTGCTGTTACTTGTTGCCTGTAGGTGGCGCAGCACTATGACTGCAGGTCTCTGCAGTTGGGTAATATTGGCTCAGTCTGATTTCGGCTGCTTTGAAGTGAAGTGAAAGAGCTGAGAAATATCACTCGCTGCATCTAGATCCAGATTAAAAGCAGATACTGCGAAACTATGCTTTCTTTTCCTTTAATCATCCATGGAAGATTGAGTTTCCTCACTGAGTTTCCATCCATCCATAACATGCCCTGAAATGACTTACACTCTCACAAATTCTGGGAAACTCCACAGAAGCAGTTTGGGAAAAGTTAAGTTAATTTGTTAAGAGTCCCTTGATATCACATTTGCAGCGTGTTGCATGCTTTCCTTATGCATTTTTTTTTCATTTATTTTTTCCCAGTCATCCCTGGTATTTGAACTAGAGACCTGCTGGTCATGATCAGGATCTTTCTATCCACACCTCATGAAGAAAAGTTGTTGTTGTTTATTAAAATTTTCTGGTGGCATTCGACCTCAACCGACCTGTGAATGTATCTGTATTTCCAGCTTGCTGAGGAAGTCATTTGCCACAAGGCGGACCTGCGTTTCGTCTCCATCTCCGGTCAGAAAGTTCTGGACTCTGTTCAAGGGTCTCTGGAGCAGGTTGGCGGTTCAGACCCAGCTCTGGAAAGCACCAAGCAGCTGGTGACTGACAAGCTGCAGGATGCTAACCACAGATACACAACCCTACACACCAAGGTGAGAGATACTAGAAGGCATTCTACAAATTGTCTGTCTTGACTTTACGCATACACTGAAACTCTCTGTTGGTGTTTGCAGTCAACAGAGTTGGGTGGTCGTTTGTCCGGCCTGTTGGAGAGGTACCAGCAGCACCAGGATGAGGTCGTCTCCCTCCACTCCTGGCTCAGCACTCAGGAACAGAACCAAAGCATAGCCAAAGCCAGCGGGGACACAGACCCACAGAACCTGCAGAACACACTGAGACAAGTCCAGGTGAGGCACAGATGAGAAACACTGAAATAAAAACATTACGAAGACGGAAGACGAGTTTCAAAGTATGGAAAAATGTCACTCATGATCTGGGCTAGTCGACAGTCATCCTTCCAGCTGCTGCATAGAGTTGAGTAGAGACCAGAAAGTTTAAATTCAGTCAAGTAATTAAAGCCTGGAAAAAGCGTGCAATGGTAAAATGGAAAGTATGAACGTCGTCTGAGTTTAAAATATTTTTGTCAGCTATAGAAATGATTTAATTTTGACTGTGTGTCGTGTGTCCCCAGCTGCTGCAGGATGAACTGGCAGAGCGCTCAGTGCAGCTGGAGAAGGTGAAGAGAGCAGGAAGAGATCTGGTCAGCGCAGATGAATCTCCCTCCCTGAAAGCTGTAGACATCCTCTGTGCTGCGGGTAACTTCATTTGGCGAAGCCGTCCCCTCAAGTTCTAATCACAGACCACTGAACCCACATGGAGACTTATTTGTTTTGTCTGAGAAATGAAAAACACATTCTTACAACTACATTTTTTTTTTTTAAATTTTGCTCTTTTCTTTTATCCAGATGGTTTAGAGAAAAGATTCAGCTCTCTGTCTGCGTCTGTCTCTGAGCGGGCCGAGCAGCTTCAGACGGCCGTGGCTCAGTCTGTCAGTGTCCAGGAGGGCCTGAAGGGTCTGCTCAGCTGGCTGGACAAACTGGTTCTGAAGCCCGGACCAGTGGAGCCCACCGCACAGGCTGTACAAGACGCCCTTACCCAAAATCAGGTAGCTCTATTACCAGAAGGAAAAATGCAGCAGTTTCTTAGACAAGACAAAATCACGGTTAAAAAATGGTGCTGTAGGATTGCATGCGGAAAAGTGACCCTCCGTCTTCTCCTCTTCCTTCCTCAGAAACTTCGGCAGGAGCTGCTCTCCAGGCAGGGCAGCGTGGAGGCAACGCGGGACTCTGTTTCCAAACTCCTTCAGAGTTCGGATGCTTCCACAGCCTCAGGCCTCCAGGGCGCTTTAGACGAACTGACTCAGCGCTACACTGAAGCACAAGCCAGCCAGGCAGAGAGGGAGTCTGAGCTCAAAGGCCTGTTGCCCAGACTGGAGAACTACGAGCGGCTGGGGACCGACCTCCAACTCTTCACCCAGACCCGACTGAAGGCTCTGAGCCCGGTGGGCCAGCCAGACCGCAGCATGGATGACTACAGGCAAACCATCGAGGTCAGCGGGAGAGAAGAGTCAGATTTGTATAAATAGGTCATCTGCAGTGTGGCCTATTAGTGGATCAGTTATACTGTCAGTCTATTCAGCCCTTTTGTCCTGTGCATCTTTTTCCCAGGAGGTCAAGTCGGAGCTGGAGCAGGAAGCGGGTCAGCTCAAGTCCTTCTGCAACCTCGGCACCGAGCTCAGCCACTCAAACGCTTTCAGTAACACTCAGAGCTTATTGGAAAATGTCAAAGGGGTGTCTGATGAGTTCAACCAGCTGGAGGCAAATGTCAACGAAAGGTAAAAATATCAAGAGATAATGTGAGAACTGACAACTTGACTGACAAAAAATGCAGCCATAAATGTGAAGCCGCCATTTTCATATCTTTGCCGACAGATTTATTTTGTCCTGATTTTCCAGTCTCTTACATGGCATCTATATTAGATAATATTATTTATCTATAACGATAATGAATAGAAATAGAAGTAATAGGAATCATATAATTTTTAATTCCTCTTCGTCCGTTGTGCAGTTCACCATGACATACACAAGGGGGCACCAGATACAAAGCTGTTTGGAATCTGTCCACTCTTGAATTATATACAATAACATTTGGTCCCATGTGATAAAGTATGACAGCGGTCAGTTCCTTTTAGACTGACACAAAGCCAGCAGACTGTCAGAGACAAACCTACAAAAGCTAAGACTGGTTCAGACACAGAGAGGCCTACTTTAAAAAAAAACCCCTCTGTGACTGGCTCTGCAGAACAGAGTGTGCTGCTGGCATTTCCAAAATTTGTTTTCTAAATTTGTAGCCTTCACGGAGCACCAGTTGCCATGCCTACCCTGTTTGATGTCGTATCAGTGAATAGCCACACTTGAAGCCTGTCAGCAGGGGGCTGGGAATTTATAAATACCGTCAGACTGGTTTAGGTTTATTGGATTATACTTTAGTTTGTTGAGCCAGTCACATAAAAACAACCAATAAAGGCCGTGTAATGGATATATATTAAAACCCTGTTTACATATTAAGAAAGAAAGATTAGTAAATCACTCATCTATAATCTAAACATGGTGTCAGAGGTTTTTTTAGTAACTCATAAAACATGCTGTACATGATGTAGGGGGTTATTTGCTGTGCTGCATGATGTTTCATAGCAGTTGGTTTCCGTGTACTGTATGGTGTGTTTGTGTGTGTGTGTGTGTGTTGTGTGTGTGGTGTGTGTACGATGATGTGTGTGTGTGTGTGTGTGTGTGTGTGTGTGTGTGTGTGTGTGTGTGTGTGTGTGTGTGTGTGTCTGCTGCATGTGTGTACTGTATCTGTGTGACCAGTATGAGCTGATGAGCCGGCCCGGGTGCTAATATAAGCAGAGTGGACATGGCTCATTGTCTGTCCTATAAACGGCCTCTCTCGTATTAACTCCCGGCCTCGAATCCCCGGGGGGGAGAAAATAGCAGCATGATAATGATACTGCCCCATGCCAGACGACTTCTCTGAGCTGTTTTGTCTACGGGCACTCAGCACTTTTCCAGCCATAGCTCGAGACAGATCACATACAAAGAGAAGGAGGTCAAGGCTGTGTTAACGCGGCCTCGGGGGCCAGTGTGGACCCTGAATACTCCCTGTCAGTGGTGCTTTGTGTGTGTGTTTGTTCTTTAAGAGAATATCATGTAAAAAGAGCTTTAGAGAGATCATGTAACTGCTCTACTTTGCCTTGAAACCAAAAGGATTTAAGGTGCATTTTCTCTGCTCTCCTCCTCTTCCTCCTTCATTATCCTTTTCGTCTTCTTCATCACTGCTTCCTACCGTCTGTTGCTGCTCTTCATACCATCCTCTTCCTCCCCTTTCCTGCGTTCCTCTGACACAGGTTTGCTGCCATCCAGGCCTGTGAGCAGCGGCTGCTTCAGTTCCGCGGGCTCTCCGGCTCCCTCCTCAGGTGGCTTCAGACGGCACAGGACCAGCTGCCCCCCAAAGAGGCCAACCTCAACACTGACGGCCTGCAGAGAAGAGTCCAGCAGCTCAAGGTACCGTGAGCTAAGTGATCACAAACCCTGCGAGAGAAAACATTTAGAGACATGTTGTCTGAACCCAGTGACTATAGCATGTGCTGTTATAGCTCAGCGACTCAAAAAGATGAATTGTGCCTTCAGGACTTGTTGAATGACTGGGAGTCACAGGGACCCAGGGTTCAGGAGCTGAACAAGACAGGCTCACAGCTGGAGTCCGTCATCATCGACATCACTGCGCCTCAGACCAAAACTGGTAAGAGCAGCGATGGAAACACTGCCCAACAAAACAATCCTCGCACCCCCTCTTCACTTTAAATGACTTATTTTCCATATGAGAGTCTTTTTACAGGCCATTTAGGTGAGATTTACAGATGATGATGTAGGTGGGTGGAAAAGGCAACAAGGGGTTTATAAAATTATTTGACCTGAGAAAAACAGAAAAACAAGTGAGGAATGCAACAAATTAGTATTTATAATCCATGCTGTCTTGGTCATTTGCTCTGGATCAGCTCTGATAGAACTGTGTTGCTCTCTGTAAATCCAGGATTAGTAATTCTCATGTACATGAGTTCATGGTGAAACTGAACCGCTCATGTGTCTGTTGTAGTTGAAGACAGAAGGAAATATCATTAATTAGAAGTTAAAAGTAAAATCTGTAGAGCATCAGAGAGCAAAACATAGCAAAGGTTGAAGTTTTAGATATTACACAAATGTCTGTCATGTAAAGACTATGAGTATCCTCCATGTCTTCCTCACTGCTGTCATCCGTTTTCATGGCTTTTGTCCAGTGTCTTTGTTTCTCCTGCAGAGCTCCGTGTGTTGAACACAGTGTTTGTGATTCTGCGATATTGCATGCTTGTGTCAGAAGTCTTTACATATGCGCCTATTGTTTATCAGTCGGTACATCACTGGACCTGTTTGTTTGTGCGACTATACATGTATGAGTGTGTTGCAGTGCCACTGTCTCAGTCAGGTGTGTGTCTCTCTCCCAGGTGCTCCTCAAATCAATGGCTCATCAGGTCCCAGCAGTGTCAATGGCATTCACACCTGCAAAGGTGAGCTCCTCCTCCAGCTCTCTATCTTATCTAATCCCTCCTGAAAGTCAGCTTCTATAGTAAACCTAACACAGCAACAATTATGTGAACATCTCAAGCTATACTGGTGTTCATGGTTTCCTCCGACTCACTCTGAGAGATTACAGTGTGTTTCTGTTTCTGTGTCTGATACAGTCGTGTCTCTGTCAGCTTTCTGTCCATTCAAAACATCTGTCGCTGGCAAATCTGTTCACTTTTAAAAAAGATTTCCAAAGCAGAATTAGGATCTTACAGACCCTCTTTATCTGGGTTGCCCTGATCTACCTGCACTACACAGCTGTAGGCGATGTACTTGTCTATTTTATGTGTCTCTGCCCTGCTGATAATCCTTACTCCATGTGGCTCCATGTTCAGCAGTTTTCTCCTTTTCTTTGTGTTCTGCCCTCAGACCTGACAGAGCTGCAGGTGGCCGTGTCAGATGTGAACGGTCGATATGAGACGCTGGGCGGAGAGTTGAAAGAACGTCTTGGCCGCCAGCAGGCCTCACTGGAGCTGAGGCAGAAGGCCAGGCAGGGCACAGAGGAGCTGAAGAGCTGGCTGGCCAACAAAGAGCACAGCCTGAAACAGGGACAGACCGCCTCCCCCTCCAAACCTGAGGTGGTACGCGCCCAGGCCCAGGAGAACAAGGTAAAGGAGGTTCATCAGCAGCAGATCGACATAAATATCGTCTTTTCTTCTATTATCATTCATCAGAACTCATGTATATATAATTAATTGTGCGCTTGGCTTGTTGAATAGATATTATAGTACTGAGTTGCTGCTATAAGTCCTGTCATTGTCCTCTCCTTCCTCTCCAGGCCCTCCTCTCTGAGCTGACTGAGCACTCTGGGAAGGTAGAGGAGCTGAAGAGCACACTGAGGAAGCTCATTGCTGACAACCCTGATTCTCCTGAGGCAGACAGCTGGAGGCAACAGCTGCAGGAGATAGGTACATGCTGCAGATCACAGAAAATACATTCAGCAATATGAGGGGACAGAAACTGATACAGTCTCAGCTAACGCACATGCATGAAGGTAAAAACTAAATTAGACTAAATGTGAAGAAAAAAGCCCCTTTTCAAGACCAGGAGATAACAGCTACTAGAGATACCGTCCTGTCGTGAACTGTAGGGGTCACAGAAATATTATTCACTATAGGTAGCATGTGCAGAAGATGAACTTATTGTTACAGAGAAAGAATACTGCCTGAGAGACTTAACACAAAGACTCATCCATTTAGAGGAATGTAAAAACGGTGAAACGGTGAGTCAGTGTTTGTTACCTACAGACAGAGAATAATCTTATTCTCTACAGAGAATAAGAAAATGGGGAAAACCTTACAGGTAGACATCGCTGGAGAAGATGAGGTACAAACAAAAACAGGGACTGAAAACTGAAGGAAAAAAGAGGAGTTGTTTTTACTGAGGCATGTTTTTGAAAACTGTAAAAGAAAGTGGCACAGTGCAGTGTGTAATAATTCTTCTAAGCGATGGAGAGAAACTGAGATCAATATTATCCAGGGAGAGAGTGGGAAGTGTTCCTGTCAAAGCCATTTGTTCATTTTCATACTTGATATTTTTACCAGGGCCTGGTATGAGGTAACTGAGACAGAAATATTTAAGGTGAAATCCAAGAAGCAGCCCTTTATATTTCTTATTTCATAATGCTGAACTCACACACACACACACACACGCACACACACACGCACACACACACGCCTGCACGTACTGCTGGATGCCCAGAACATGAGTCAGAGAGGGAGAAAGAGACAGAAGAGTAGGAGGAAAGACAGAGGAAGAAAAATGTCTCATTGTTTTGTCAGTGTTGTTCTTCACATTGAGTCAAGTTTAAATGAAGGATTCTGATTTCATCACCATGACTGATATAGTGATTACCCTCATTTCACACTGTGCTGCAATGAGAAAACACAACAACAAATATACTGTTCACATGTATCAACATTTTGTCATTTTGAGTCTTGTTTTCTTCACTTCCTGCCTCTATTGGTTATTTTCTACAGACTCCCGCTGGCAGACAGCCAATCAGACTGCAGCCCAGAGGCAGACCGAGCTTGAGACATGTGCCGATAGGCTGGGCAGCTTTGCCTCAGCAGCCAATCAGCTGGGCCCGTGGCTGAGGGAGAAGGAGCTGATGATGAGCGTGTTGGGACCGCTGAGCATCGACCCCAACATGCTCAACACCCAGAAACAACAAGTACAGGTACGTGGCAGAGCCTGGAAACAGGATCATAGAGCTTACAAAGCAATGATCAATACAGAAAATCCAGCTTAAGGAGAAATATACAAGAATGAAAACAACTCAGTATGCAGTACAATAAATACTCCTCTCTTTTAATTCTTTGATTCGATTGGTTTCTTTTATTTTGACACTTAAATTCACTTCAGTTCTGAATGTTAATGAGGATAAGAACATATTGTGAAAGAATTTTAAACCTCACCTTACATGAGACATAAATGGTGCAACATATATGTTAAAAAATAAAAAATGGTGCTCTTATAAAATCCATAATTATCCAAAGCCATAAATATCAATCGGTTCCACTGTTGTACAGAAATTTTCCCGGTTTTTCTTCAGACTTTCTTGTGCTTTTATTGCCTCTCTTCTTTTAGTTCATGCTGCGTGAGTTTGAGACCAGGAGGCCGCAGTTTGACCAGCTGACCCAGTCTGCTGAGGGAATTCTCTCCCAGACCTGTGACTCTGCTCAGGACCCGAAGGACCTGGCAGAGGTGCAGACTGAGCTGGGCTCCATCTCCCAGCAGTGGGAAGATCTAACAAACCGACTGAGTCAGAGGTCAAACCACATCGACCAGGCCCAAGGAACCAGCGAACGGTACCAGGTAAGTTTAGTCTGGGTGGAGTCATGTTACACCATTACCATGACAGGAGAGTGTTGTAACCTTCCTCCTCTCCTGTTCAGGCCTTGCTCAGAGAGCTCTCCTCCAGTGCCTCTGCTCTGGGTGAGAGACTGGACGCTCAGGCCTCGCTGAGTGCCCAGCCCGAGGCGTTGAAGCGCCGCCTGCAGGAAACCGGAGAGATCCGCTCAGAGCTGGAGAGACGGCGGACCGAGCTGGCCGAGGCTGAGAGGCTCTGCCGGGAGCTGAGTGCCATCGTAGCTGAACCCTACCTGAAGGAAGAGCTGAGTAAACGACTGGAGAGTGTCAGTGGGCCGCTGAAGAGTTTGGAGGAGCGTGCAGGTTTGTGGACTTTATTTGGTTGATATAGTAACTGTGCTTTTAGTGATCTGTAAGTGTTCTTTATGTTTATGCTTGATTTATTTGCTGGTAGTGATATTCTATACAGAATGAATTGGTTAAATTCTCTTTAATCCCTCTGTAGCTGTAATGAGACTATTGTTTTGATTACACTAAAGCACCACTAACAAATCCACTGAAATAAATACAACAAAAACTCCTCTTTGGCCTTTTTTGTTTGAAAGTATTTTCAGTATTTATGTTTGTAATCCCTTGTGCTCTTCTTTGCTCTCCTCTAGCTGACGGTCTGTCTCAGCTCCAGGCCGCCCTGTCATCCACCCAGCAGTTCCAGCAGATGTTTGAGGAGTTGCGCTCGTGGCTTGACAAGCAGGCAGATCCCAGAGAATCCTCCTCTGACTCCCTGCCTTGCCAGCCAGAGGCCATCCGCTCCCTGCTGGCACAGACAGACGAGCTCCAGCGCGGCTTCGCCAGTCAGCGAGGATCCTACGAGCTGATTCAGGCTGAGGGAGCGTCGCTGCTCGCCTCTCTCCCAGCAGGCGGAGACGAACGCTCTGCCCTTCAGTCCCACCTGGGCTCCTTGCGACAGGACTGGGAGGGGTTGAACCAGAGAATCTCAGACCGGGAGAGTCGACTGAAGAACACTCTGAGCAAAGCAGAAACCTACCAGCAGCACAAGGCAGAGCTGATCCCGTGGTTGTCAGACTGCGAAGAGAAAGATGGAGAGATCCAGCCATCACTGGACTCAGCTGCCCTGGATGAAGCCTTGCAGAGGGCCCGAGGTCTGTCACTGGACCTGGAGAGACGACAGCCTCTCCTCGAGGCCTTCAACACTGCAGCTGATCAGCTGCTGGAGCAGTGCTGCATCGGGGAGGAAGAGGTAAATACCTGCTGTAATTTTACTGATAAAACACTGTTGTTTCTACTCTCAAGTGTGTTGTATCATTATATAGATATCAAGCTTGCTTTATCTGCTTTATTGTCTTGATACGCTTTAATACTTAATTATGATGCCTCTGGGATTTAGTTGTCTTTTGGTGGATGTGTCACCAACATTTAGAGACTGAATATTGATGTATCTATAAAGTGTGTATTGTTAGTGATCTAAAATCACAAATTAAGTAAATGTGGAAAACTGATGTAATGTAAACTAATGTTCTGTAGGTACGAGACGAGAAGGCCCAGCTGAACCGCAGGGTGGATGGACTGGGGGAGAAGCTCCATAACCGCACCTCCCAGCTGGAGGAACTGTCTGGCCGCCTGAAGGAGTTTGAAGAGGGCAGACAGGCGGTGGAGCGGAGGATGGAGGCAGCCAAGCACCAGATTGAAGTCCAGGAGGCTCTGGGACCTCAGGTACTGAAACTGTTTGATCACATTGTCATTAGCACTGAAGGTGTGTATAATACATGGTTATTTTGAATAATGTTTCACAATCATTCAAGTAAAGCGGCAATCACATTTACTTCTCTCCTATTCAGGCATGCAGTGCGAAGAGCCTGGAGCGGCTGAGAGGTCAGCAGGAGAACCTGAGGTCCCTGCAGCCTCAGGTGGTCTACCTCAGAGACCTGGCCCAGGGGCTGGTGCAGGATGCACCTCAGACACCGGGAGGCAGCACTGAGGGGGCACAGAGGCTTCAGGACCAGGCGAAAGAGACAGAGAAAGAGTATGATGACGTTACCGGCAAGGTGAGGAGCAGCGTCACGGTCAGGAAAAGAAACCAAGAAATAAATATTGGAAATATGAGGGTTTATTTTTATACAGTGTCATAAATCGTGCAGCTTTACAAAGCTTCAGAGGGAACAACAAAAACCACAGAGATGAACCACAAATGTGAGACCATGCTCCAAGTTATCACTGGGCAAATAAGGACATCAAACATGTCTCAAATAATTACATCTGCAAAATGTACGAGCATATTACAAGAGTTCTTCTCTTGACATTATTCTCTTTTGAATTGCTGAAATTCACAGAGCACTGATGAGATTCACGGGACTTGGCTTGTTAACACTTACAGTGTATCTCTTTGGAGCTTAGTGTCAGCTCTCAACACTGTACTTAACTTTATATCATAGCTGATTTTTTTCTTCCTCCTCTCAAACCAGAGATCACCAGTGACGGCTAGTTAATGTCAGAAATATACTTGACCCATATATTAAAGTAGCGAAGGATCATCCATCCAGCAGACAGCTGTGGAAAAGCAGCAGGACACGAGGAGAAGAGAGTCATAACAGTTATGAGCTAATGTAACCTCCACAATTTAGTCTGGAGTGAAGAGATGTTGTACAACTAGAGGAACTATTTATACCAAGGGTCACTGTGTGAGAGGGTGTCACATCTAGTGTGTGTGTGTGTGTGTGTGTGTGTGTGTGTGGGTGCTTAGAAGACAAGTGTCAGTGAGCTGAGAGAGAGCAGAGCAGCTAAAGCTGTCGGTAGAGTTTGGCCATTAGACTTACAGTAGTCATATATGGTCATTGTGGACATTCAACACTTAATCACGGTTTGAACCTGAGCAGAGAGAATTCAGCACCCACAGTATTGCATCTATTTTCTGCAATACAGCCTCCAAATATTCCATTTAAGGTTAGAGCCATCACAGGAGCTGTATATTAAAAACCATCAGACCGTGCTGTTGTTCACTGAGATGTTTTATTTCTCTTTTTGAAATATTGATCTGACAGAGCTGCTGTGCTGCAGGAGATGATGCAGATCAGTCTTCTCTTAGATAACGTTACCGTTGTCTCGTTCTTGCACCTACACTGACAGAGTCTATTTTCATTTGCTGTTGTGTTGAATCACTTCCTGGTTCGGTTACACATTGTTCTGCTGCAGTGATTTGTCCAGTTTTGAAAGAGAAAATATGACCACACAGGCTTCTGTTTGTCTGATTAATATGTGGTTTGACGAGGAAGTCTGTTCTGTATGACTCAGATATCATCACTGTCTTTCATTGATGGTACAGTTACAGTTTTGTTGGCCCTGCAGCTGCTCTCCAAAAAATGTTTCTGAGTGAACCCATTTATAGTTGCACATTTAATTTGAAAGAGTTGCTCAAAATCAACTAAATCTTCATCTTCCACCTTTGACTGGGTCTGACTCCTTGAATAAAAAGTACTACAGTGAGCAGACACCGTCCTTCAGCTGGAATGTAGGAGTTTCATTTTGTATTTTGAAATTGTGATGCACAAACTTGACTGTGCTTCTCTTAACACCTGTTGTGCTTTTCCTCCGTCCTCCTCTCCCCATCAGATCGAACACTGTTGCTCCTCCCTGGAGTCTCGTCTGCAGGGCGTCGGCGAGGTCCAGTCACACGTGCGCGATGTCTTCTCTCGCCTTGCCGACCTTGACGATGAACTGGACTCCCTCAGCCCTGTTGGGCGTGATGCCGACTCCCTGGCCTCTCAGGCAGATGCCCTGAAGGGCTTCCTGTCCCGTCTGACCAACCTGAGGTCGGAGCTGGAGGGTCACACGTCGGAGTGCACCACCATGCTGCGGCGAGAGGGCTCCTCCCCTGATCTCCTGGCTCTCAGGAGGGAGACTGAAGCTCTGAGCCGCCAAGCCGGAAAGGTGAGGGAGGAGGAGAAGGATGATGCAGTGGTGGCAGTGTTTTTTTTTGTTTTTGTTTTTTTTTAAGTGTTCTCATTTTCTCTATTTTTGTGTAAATTTGCTTTAATATATTAATTTATTCTTCAGCAATGACTCAGGTCATTTGATCTAATTTATGTGTGAGTGAATTTAATATTCGAGATCTTGACATTTTGATATTAAGACATGTAAGAATTTTAATGCATTAACTTTGTGTCACATTAGCTCTTTGATGAATCCACTGTTTAGTTATTCAAAAACATATCATGCCTCCTGCATGGATTGGTTTTATCAGGTCACTGATTTCTTTGATTCTGTTCTTGCCAGCTGAGCGAGCGCGGCCAGGCCAGGTTGGACCAGATCGAGGACGCTGCCGGGAGGGTCCGGGAGTTCTACAGGCTGGTGGCTGAGCTGCAAGGCCTGCTGGGAAGAGCTGAGGAGGGGCTGAATGCGCAGGGCATCGTCGGCACAGAGGTGGAGATGATCAAACAGCAGCTGCAGGAGTTCAAGGTAGGATGGACTTTTGTTGTTGCTGGTTATTTACGTGGAGGTGATGTGTATGGGTATGAGTGTGCTGTGTGTTTGTGAGGTGGCAGTGTTACAGTGGAATCCCACAGAGCTGTGGTTCTTTATTTTCTTATTCTCCTCTTTCTTCATAATTCCATTTGGTTTAGGGTTTTCTTTGTCATGTACTGCAGTACGTCCTGGAGCAGTGTGTGTGAATGCAGGTGTGTTAGTCATTTGCTTTGGCAGTTATAATATCCACTTGAGTCTGTGAGTAAGAACAGGAGAGAATCTGATGGAGTTCGGGGTGAAAATGTGTGTGTGTGTGTCTGTGTGTGTGTGTGTGTGTGTGTGTGTGTGTGTGTGTGTGTGTGTGTGACAGAGAGACATTCAATATTTGTTGAGCCTCTGTGGAGGTCTATATCCATCATTTCCTCTCGCTCATACCTCCAGAGAGCGTGAGGTAAGGGTCTCTGTGTGTGTGTGTGTGTGTGTGTGTGTGTGTGTGTGTCAGGAGTCGGAGGCAGTGATTAGTTGAGTCACGCATCTCTTTGAAATCCCTGACACGCTCCTGAATCACGCAGCTTTTCCCCCTCAAGGACAGTTATGATGCTCTCTGCGTTTTCCTAAACATTTCCCACCAACACACTCTCTTTCTTTGTCTCTCTCTCTCTCTCTCTCTCTCTCTCTCTCTCTCTCTCTCTCCTCCTTATAAACACACATCATACTCCTCCCTGTTCATAATGTTCAGGCCCCGCCCGTCCTGCCTTTTGAACTCGTTAGCCCCGTCATTGTGATGGTAGATGATGATTTAAATTTGATACTGGAGCAAATCACACATCTCTGTTTTCCTTTATCTTGTGTGTGTTAGCAACACTTGTCTGTACTGCCTCTCTGTTGTTGTTGTTGTTTTATTTACCTCAAGCAGCAGTCAGCTATTGTAAAGTGCAGGATGGCGTTTGAGGACACAGTGGTAGTCTGGCTTTTGCACAGTGCATTTAAACTAACTGACTTGTTTTTACTGCAGTTTGCAGCACACAGAAAATATTTTATTTGTAGTCATGCAGAGCTTCTTCAGCCAGCAGCTGGACTTGTTTATTGAGAATTTAATTGGATTGTCAGAATGTGCTTTAGGCCAATCAAATTACTCGACTCAGACCAAGATATGACAAGTTGCATTAACTACATGTTGAGCACAAATATATGATTTCAAGTATGTAAACAGGAATGACTAATGATTATTTTTAGTATAGATGAATCTGTCTATGACTTTTTTGATTAATTAAAGAATCAGTGAAACATTGTCATCAATATTTTAGAGCCCAGTGTTACCTCCTCAGCCAACAGATTTTCAATTTACATTTGCAATAAAACAGAAAAGCAGCAGATCCTCACAGTGCAGAAGCTGGAATCAGTAAAACGTGTGGCATCGTAAACAACTTAAATTGTTTAAGACATGTCTAAACTACTGGTAAATAAATATTGGGCGAAGAGATGTCTTCTATTTGCATCAGTGGATGCAACATTAGGAAGTCACTGTTTATAAAGTTTGTTATGTTTAGTGTGTTTACACTCGGATTTATTCTAAGTAAAGAATGAAGGCGAAGAAGAAATCCTGAGACGTTTTCCTAAAACACAGGGTCAAAATGAATAAATAAAATCTGCACATGATTATTTGTATATTGGTTCCTTCTTGTGATATTTTAGCATTAAGTCAGAAAATGACTGTAGCTTGTTTCTATATTTAAAGAGAAATTCAGCTTTACTGTGGAGCTGACCTCAGGAATGTGCCTCGCCGGCACATCCATTGTGTTTTATTGCGTTACTCCCCTGCTCGTTTCATGGTTTGTACAGACCGCTCTTTCAGTGCGACTACTATCATTTAAGAGCGCATTTTCTGGCCATGATGTAACATCCTGTCCACTTTGGAAAACTATGTAAGTATGTGAGCGCTCAGGAGAAGTATGCACGAGTCCCACGCACAGCCAGCACACTTAACCGTTTTCTCCCATCTGCTGATGCTCGAAGAAAGGTTATGCTTTTTTGAAGATGATTGATGATTCATGCGATATGAGCACTAATCATTTTCATGCATTTGAAAAATTTAGTAGGTGTCCTGCTCGTTCCCTGGAGAGTGATCGGCTCCACTGTTGTTAAGATGTGTGGGTGGATCAAAGAACATTTTTTTTTTCCATTTAATGAGACACTTCTGCTTCTGTTTCTCTTCATCCTAGTTCCTGCTTTTTCATTCCTGCTCCCTCTTCTTCTTTTCATCTCTCTGTTTGATTATTTGGATATTTAGTGAAACATCTTCGTTTGCCCTCACCATCCCCCTCTTGTCCTACCTCTCTGTCTGTGTGCTTGTTTCTTCTTCAGTCTCTCAGCCTGTTTCTGGGTCTCTTTCTTTCTCTCCTTCCCCCTCGCAGGTCTTTTAATGAGAGCAAGTCGAGTGCATGTGTGGCAGAGAACAGACAGAGGAGACAGAGAGGCGGTGAGAGGGTGAATGATGAGAGGATGGAGAGAGGGAGAGACAGAGAGAGCTGTGAAAAGCTAAATAGGCTGCACTTGAAAAGAGAGAGATCCAGATCAGACAAAGAGTGTGAAGCTGTTCCATGTGTTTTCTCTGGTGTGCAGTTAACACGAATCATGTCAGTGATCACATTTACAGGTGCGCTAACATGTCGCCTGACTCTGAGTAATGAAAGATATATTCTAGTCCAGACATTTAAATGATTCAAAGAGGCGATGAATATGTTTTTTCCTCCTATAACCCGCTGCATATGGAGAGATTTTCCCATCAAACCCCAGGAACTCATTATGAGCAGCGTCACCAGCAGGTTTTCTTTTTGATCCCTGTATTGAATTTAAAAAATGAGCATTACAGACAAAAAGACTACTGCTGATTGACCTGCTGTGCAATATTTGTGTCGCGGCGACAATGACCTGTGGTTTGAGGACCAGATTTTGTTATAATATGTATTATAAACACACATTTCAGTGTAATTTAAGCCATGCTAGCAGGGCGCCTCTACGAGTGGCTGCGTCAGACCAAAATATCTCAGTTGTTTGGACATGAAATTGTGTTCAGACATTCATGGTCCACAGAGGATAAAAACTGATTTAAAAATTGTGTTATTGTTATAATTTTATTCATTCTAATAATTTTCTCATAAGTAAATCAAGACATCTGGTTTGTGCTGTTTGTATTATTTTCTCTCTGTGTCCGTGCTCTCTTCAAGAATCAATAAGATAAGAAGAGAAAGAATCAATAAGAAGATGATGTTCCTCCATTAAAGCTGTGAACGAAGAGCCGAGGTGCAGACAGACTGATGCCAGACTGGGTGCAAAAGTAATAGCAGGGGCAGAATGTATAATAGCTACTGTCTGCGGGGTATGTAGAGCATGGAGAAATGGTCTGTCACTCTATTTGGGGGCAGAGGGGTATTTATAGGGAGGGTAACGAAGGGAGGATAGCAGGGGGGATATTGTTGAGAAGAGAGAAAAGGGCAGAAGATAAGAGTCAATCAGAGAGAGACGGCAGATCGTCATGGAGAGCGGGATCACGAGGCACGGAGAAAGATAAGGAAATAATGGGATAGAGGGGAAACAGTGAGAGGGTTCTTCACATATTTCTTCTGTCCTCTAACTGACCCTTTTTTCATTTTATCTTCTCTCTGTATTACACTGTATATTACCTCCATCCTGCTCTAATAGTCTAAAGAGGGATAGAGGGAGAAAAAAAGATGTGAAAATCTTTGGTCCACCCTTTGAAGCCACACTCCTCTCCTCTCCCGCTTTGTCTCTACCTCCCTCTGCCTTCTCTCCCTCTCCCTGTCCCTCTCTTCCTCTGTAACCGATCCAACTCGGCTCATTTCAAACCTAAACATGTCTGTCTGGCTCCAAAACAGACCAGGCCACCCCTCTCCCCTCTCCTCTTCCTCCTTCCCCTCCCCCATCAGACCCCATTTCCAATCCACAGGGATGATGTCATACCGATGCTTAGAAAGACGAGGGGGCTAGGGACGAGGGGGGTGTGTGTGTGTGGGTGTGTGTGTGTGTGAGGGTGTGTGGAAGGCAACCAGGGGGATGAGGGGTCATGGGAGAGGGAGGTGATGTTGTCAGATTATTGTTTAAACTTCCCAACAGTGATCTCACAGAGAATGAATGGGTCAAGAGCGAAAACACTGTTCCTCTGTGTCTTTCTCTCTTCTGTCAAAAATGAGCACACACACACACACACATACGCAAAGTGGGGTCCAAAAGTTTTTAGATCACTGTCCCGTGGTGGTAAATATCTTTGTTGCACCAAGTAACTGGTCAGATTAATAATGTTTATTACTTATTCCTTTGATCAGATAGTTCCTGATTTAAATCAGAAATGTTGATGAGGTCAAAACTCCAACAACTTTATTAAGAGACTAATATGTTTTGACTGTGACCTTCATCAGGTTTATCATACAAGAAATGACAAAGATGAGAAGAGAAACTTTAAAATTAAAAGAAATATATCATAAACAACCAGTCATATATTATAATATATATTACATATAGAAATTTTAACTTTTTAAAGTGTTTGTCTTTCACACTCAACTTATTTTATTATATTTTATTTTATTTCACAACCAGGTTATTTGTGATTAGACAATTAATAATAATAATAATAATAATAATAACTTTATTGGTATAGCACTTTTCAAAACAGAGCTACAAAGTGCCGTACAAACATGAAAATAAAACAAGGCAATAAAAGACACAGAGAGGAAAGTGTCAATTAGCAAGGCAAGTATAACAGGGAGAATTACAAATATGTCTTTTAAAACAATAAAATCAATAAAGCAGACCAGAGAAAATAAAGTCAAAACTACAAACCAAAGATAAAAGCATTGAAATCAAGAATTAAAGCTGCTTCATACAAGAATGTTTTGAGTAGTGTTTGAAACTGGGGCACAACTCAGCACACAAGATGAACACTGAGGATTGGAGTAATTTGCCCGCTTTTGTTGGAT